GTGACAAAAGTTGTTTTTCTCATACAAATGCCTCTAACTTTTGGCAGCTGTTGCAATAGCTACTTTTGAGATATATGGCTAAAAAATTCTCAGGTTACCAGATTTTAATACAGTTGACTCCCGATAACTCGAACCCTCGCTAACTCGAACCTCGCGCTAACTTGAACCAAAATCGATTTCCCCTGGATTTCCATCATACATTTACTGTAATTTTACCCTCGGTAACTCGAACCCTTGATAACTCGAAACTCCCGCTAACTCAAAGTAATTTTTGTTTCCCCTCAGATCATTTCTGTATAATTTTACCCTCAATAACTCGAACTATGTTTTGAGCCCTTAAAAAGTTGGGAAAAAACAGTGTACTGCCTCCGAAACATTGACTTTTGAATTTCCCATTGACGTGTTGTAGGCATATAGTTTACAAGTGAATCGATAGTGGAGGGTGATGTTGTTTGTCACAAATCTAACATGAAATAGCTTTACTTCTCAAAAAGTAAAATGCATGCTCTACTTAGGCGAAGTTTTGTCACTTTACGTTCTGATTTATAATCTAAAAGTATCTTTCAATTTTCACTCAACATTTCTACAACTAAATGTGATTAAAATGCTCACTGTACAGTAAAAACTGTTTTTTCCTTACTCCCGGCTATTTTCTTCGAGCTCCTGATAACTCGAACTCCTGATAACTCGAACTTTTTTCGATTTCCCTTGAAGGTTCGAGTTATCGAGAGTCAACTGTATGCTCTTTCAGCTTGTGCTAACAAAATTTTTCAAAATTGAATGTTTTCATGTTTACCAAAAGTTGATCACGTGGTCACAGACATGCAAAGAGCCTATAGCACTTCCACTGTAATGTGAGCCACTTTCTGATGCAGCCACCTCATAAAGTGGCCAATCACTCCTTATAGAAATGGTACTGAAAAATGCTGTGTGTGGTCATGTACAGTGTAACTGAATCTGCAGTCGGTGTGAAGTAAAAGAATACGACATTTCATCACAAACTCATGCTCTAAGTGAACCCATTCATCTGGAAATCTTGAAGGAATGTGGATCTGTAATGTGTGGTTGTGGGTGGCTGGATCAGTTGTGAATGTGTTAATACTGCAAAATTCCCATGGCCTGTTGGAGGACCTATCCATGGATTCCACTATTATAAACTAAAATTAATTGCAGAATCATGGGCTCATTCAAATACAACTAATAAATTACTGATTTCCTCAAAAAAGCACCCAGGCGCTTGTTAAAAATTTCTGCTCAAGGAAAAGACACTTACTGGGAGGGGGTCGCTCAAATTAAGTTTTCCTTTCAATGAATTGTAACTTTATTTTAGCGTAATGTTTAATAGAAAAGCAAATTACTGTAAATCCTCTATTAGCCCCTCTCTAATATCCCCTTCCTTCTCAGGGGAAGAAACCCCCTCTCTTTTAAGCCCCTTCTTCTGTCAACCTTACTATTCTTCACTAATAAATAATAGACTTTATAAACCAGTCACTGAAAAACTTCATTTGAACTGATCTGCGATGGTATAATTTGTTTTTGACCTCATCTGCGTGACCTGCAATTTCTTGTACTTAAGCTTTTCCAGTTACAGAGGATTTTCGGTAAACATTTAGTCAATATTATTGCCTGCCATCTGTTAAAACAGTGGTTTTTAATTAAGTGTAGCATACATGTAGGCTCATTACACATGTTTACACGTGTAAGTGGTTTGCGTGTTTATTATCTCATTATAATCATCAAATAACTATTGATTCTCAAAAATTCTCATAAAGTGGATGTAGAAACATGTTTTTCTTGTATCCCTACATTAAGAAAGTGAACGGGGGGGGGGGAAGGTGGGGCTTATTCAAGAGTGGCACTTATTTGATATTTTGGCCTTCAAAGTGGGCACCTTCTTTTGGGGGAAGCCACTTATTAGAGAGTGAGCTACAGTAATTGCTTAAAATGTGGCAAAGTGAATATCAAAGTCCTGTACATGATACAAGCCTGAAGCTACAAACCCTAATTGAATTAAAGTAACTCAAGGACGGTATTAAAAAAACAAATGGAAAAAGGATTATCACTTTATTTTTGCTTTTCAAAATTCTGTGGACAGTCACATTTGCAAAGCCCACCAACCAATGCTCTGCTACAATACATGTATGTCTTGGCTGGGCGTGTGGGGAGGTTTATTGAATGGTGAATGACCATACCATCGCCGGTTCAAAAGCAATAATGTAACTGGGAGAACTGCTCTTTGTCTTGACACATTGCCCTTGATTTCATTATGTAGGTTACTGCAAACAATCAGTTCAAATCTCATGATGTGTGGGTTTCAGAAGTCAAGGATCCATGTACCAAGCTTTGGTGAGACATTTTGAATTATTTCATACTTTGCCACAATTATTACAATTATATTTTAAATATTTTATTAGTGCAGAACAATGTATAGTCTTATTGCTGCGGAGCGACCGTAGGGAGCGAGCAGCAACATAATCAGGATTTAAGGGAAATATATAAGGGGCGACAAATTCTCGAATTCATCACTTTTTACCACAATGCATTACATTTAACCACACTTTTTACCACAATGCATTGCATTTAACTAGAGTGCATTGCACCACGAACAAGTAAAATAAAAACACGGGGAAGTTCGCATCGTTTGCTGCCCAGACTCAGAGTTTTCTTTGTAGCAAATTTTCTACAGCACGGTTAGAGGTCTTACCAAATTTAAGACACGCAGGAGTCTTTCAGATGAGTACGATGGTTAACTTGGGGATTGGATTTCAATTCAAGAGCCTTTGACTCGTCCAGGTGTTAAACCTGACGAGAAGATGAGTATTTGCTCTCTGCAACACGGGGGATATACAAACTCCAGCTTGCTAGAAGGTGATGTGAAAGTGAGAAAATATCATGCCATGCTATTCTTAAGAACCTGTATGAGCCGAAAATGGATGTGATTTTGACCATTCGCTTCAAAATAACAGCGGAAATCGAGATAACAAAACATGTGTTGTGTCCTACGTTGCAGACGAGGACGTGTATCGGCGTTTTGAAAAGCATAATTATGTTCTGTCATTCATTTATTGCCATGGAATATGCGTTTACATTGTTTTTTTGCAGCATTACTATCTTTTAGATACCCTAGTAATATCAAAATTCCCTGTAATGGTTGGGGGGTGGGGGTGGGGATAACACTGAAGGGAAGTTTGGGTAGGGGTGATACTGCTAAGGTTTCAGATCTTCATCCTGTTTAATATAAGAAACCTTATTTCATGACTCTGATTCATTTCATAAAAACTGACATAATTATAGGAAAAAACATATGGTACATGTACCACACATGAAGGCCTTGCATGGAAAGTACCTTAGGTACAGTGTATGGTAGGTGTTTATCTGCAGTGTCCTGGGTTAGAAGGAGATTTTAAAATTTAAGAAAAAATTCTGAAAAATACACTGTTAAAAGGAATCATATTGTTTATTTACATAAGTGATACAAAGTTATACCAAAGTGCCACTTATCAATACATTTGCACATTTTTATCTAAATGTAAAACAATGCACATATACCTTGTGGCTTTTATGGCGGGAGGTTTTAATATTATTGTTGTAGCTTCTTTCAAATAATCTCCATATAACCCCCTAACCCCCCGCCTCCATCGACACATAACCCTAAAAATCATTATAACTAAGAAAGACAAAGAAAATGGCAATGACATAAAGGCAAAATCTGTTCTAGTTTTATTTAGAATTTCCTTAGTTCTTAGCTCTAATATCATTCAAAGGAGACTGTTCTGGTTTAATTTGAGAACAAATTTTACCTACACCCTTTTACACCCTGTATTTGGACTCACTTAAATGAAGGATGTTGAATGCAATGAATGCATGTGTATTGCCCAAACTGATCCATAGAGAGAAAGACCAGACTGGACCATTCCAAATATTAAGCTCCCACCAGGACAGTCCTCTAGCAGAGCCTGGTGGCCCCTGCTGCCCAACTTTTGCTCTCGGGTGACTAGAAAGTCTCATATTTTCCATAGAAATAATATGCTGGGTACCCCGTGTTTTCCAGGTTCCGAGCACTGGACTTGCTTCAATTTTCTTAGGAGCACAGCCGTGTCCCACAAAAATGTCAAGCGTTAAATAATTATTGTACTCAATAACATTGCACCAATATTTACAGTTTGATTTACTTTTCTTTTTTTTGTTTGTTTTTATTGTAGTGTTCATGTCTGCAGTTGTAAAGGATTTTTAGGATTCCTGTGATGTCCAGGCTGATGGAGGTAAGTCGAAAAATTGATCATTTGTTATTGGTTAGTAGTGTTTGTCTAGTGAAGATCTATTTTTCTTGTTATCTTCAATCTCCAGTTGTAAGATTTCAGGTTTGAAGTGTTTTTCTAAAATGTTGGTGGAGAGATGGTGGTCACGTCAGACACTGTATCAAGGGGTTCTGATTTGAGCCCCCACTGTTCCATCACTTGATTTCCTTTGACAAGAAAAATATATTTTTAGATTACCTACACCCCCCCCCCCTCCCCCCCCAACACACACACACACATGCACAGGTCTTTAATTTTGTGCTAAAATGGCAACATACTGGTGGGCAATGCTGTGATGGACTAGCATTCCATGCAGGGAGGGGCGGTAGGGTGGTGGGTGGAGTTGTAATATTCACTCCATGGTGCTTCCAACCAAGATAAGCTCTCACTGTGCAGGCCCTCTCGCTTGTTTTCAGTACCTCTCCCATCCATGGGGGGAGGGGGGGAGTTGTAATATTCACCCCATGGTGCTTCGTGGTTCTTCCAACCAAGATAAGCTCTCACTGTGCAGGCCCTCTCGCTTGTTTTAAGTACCTCTCCCATCCATGGGGGGAGGGGGGAGAGTTGTAATATTCACTCCATGGTGCTTCATGGTGCTTCCAACCAAGATAAGCTCTCACTGTGCAGGCCCTCTGGCTTGTTTTCAGTACCTCTTCCATCCATGGGGGGAGGGGGTGGAGTTGTAATATTCACTCCATGGTGCTTCATGGTGCTTCTAACCAAGAAAAGCTCTCACTGTGCAGGCCCTCAGGCTTGTTTTCAGTACCTCTTCCATCCATGGGGGGAGGGGGTGGAGTTGTAATGTTCACCCCATAGTGCTTCCAGCCAAGATAAGCTCTCACTGTGCAGGCCCTCTGGCTTGTTTTCAGTACCTCTTCCATCCATGGGGGGAGGGGGTGGAGTTGTAATGTTCACTCCATGGTGCTTCATGGTGCTTCCAACCAAGATAAGTTCTCACTGTGCAGGCCCTCTCGCTTGTTTTAAGTACCTCTCCCATCCATGGGGGGAGGGGGGGGAGAGTTGTAATATTCACTCCATGGTGCTTCATGGTGCTTCCAACCAAGATAAGCTCTCACTGTGCAGGCCCTCTGGCTTGTTTTCAGTACCTCTTCCATCCATGGGGGGAGGGGGTGGAGTTGTAATATTCACTCCATGGTGCTTCATGGTGCTTCTAACCAAGAAAAGCTCTCACTGTGCAGGCCCTCTGGCTTGTTTTCAGTACCTCTTCCATCCATGGGGGGAGGGGGTGGAGTGGTAATGTTCACCCCATAGTGCTTCCAGCCAAGATAAGCTCTCACTGTGCAGGCCCTCTGGCTTGTTTTCAGTACCTCTTCCATCCATGGGGGGAGGGGGTGGAGTTGTAATGTTCACTCCATGGTGCTTCATGGTGCTTCCAACCAAGATAAGTTCTCACTGTGCAGGCCCTCTGGCTTGTTTTAAGTACCTCTCCCATCCATGGGGGGAGGGGGTGGAGTTGTAATATTCACTCCATGGTGCTTCATGGTGCTTCCAACCAAGATACGCTCTCACTGTGTAGGCCCTCAGGCTTGTTTTCAGTACCTCTCCCATCCATGGGAGGAAGGGATAGAGTTGTAATATTCACCCCATGGTGCTTCATGGTGCTTCCAACCAACAGGGCTCGAAATTGCGACTGATACGGTCGCCAATGCGACTAACATTTTCTTCTTGGCAACTAAAAATTCTAGTTTAGTCGCCAAAGTGGCGACCAGATTCCTCTATGATTTAGATTTAAATTAAAAGAGTAAAGTTAAAACAAACATTTCATCTTATCCTGCTTTGCTTTCATCATAAAAATGTGCCAAATCGCATAAACAGAGCCAGTTTACCTCCAAATTTATACCAACTTCTATCCACATTATTTTCAAATCTGATGGATCGCACCATACTATGCAGGGCTTCTGATAGGTCGCGGAAAAAAAGTCAATTTCGCGGGATTTTCAGAGGCAAATTCGCGGAAAAATCGACCAATTTCGCAGGAATTTTCGGGGTCAAACTTAGCCGAAAATCAATCGGTCAAAAAAGGCTGATTTTGTGGTTATTTTCAGGGAAAACTTTGTTAGAGATCGATCAGACCAGACCAGCGTTTTTAATGTTTTTCTAACAGAGGTCATCATTTGCTCTTTCAACAACAATACGCTCCAGAACTGAACCAATGGCAAGGCCTTTAACATCATGGCTAGTTCCCAGTTTTTCGCAACATAATCTACGCCTGGTAGTTTCGGAGCTTCGGGACGATGTTTGCACGTTTCAGTGACGAAGTTTTAAGATACATTTACAAGTTTACTGCAAGTAAATAGCCCCAATAGCTGAAAAAAGTTTCAAATATGTCGTACAGACATTGATAAGATTTCTACCGAATTTCAGGGTATTTTGCGTGTTTTTGTGAATCTCGCGGCATGAAACATCAGAAGCCCTGACTATGAGCTGCGTCATTAAATGTAAATTTTACATTATACAAACTGGCGACTAAAAATTTACATCTGGCGACTATATTTCTCCAGTTGGTCCACCTGAGGATTTTTTTAATTTCAAGCCCCGACCAAGATAAGCTCTTAGTGTGCAGACCCTCTTGCTTGTGGTTAGTACCTCTCCCATCCATGGGGGGAGGGGGTGGAGTTGTCATATTCACTCCATGGTGCTTCATGGCACTTCCAACCAAGATAAGCTCTTAGTGTGCAGACCCTCTTGCTTGTGGTTAGTACCTCTCCCATCCATGGGGGGAGGGGGTGGAGTTGTAATATTCATTCCATGGTGCTTCATGGTTCTTCCAACCAAGATAAGCTCTCACTGTGCAGACCCTCTAGCTTGTTTGAAGTACCTCTCCCATCCATGGGGGGAGGGGGTGGAGTTGTAATATTCACTCCTTGGTGCTTCAGGTGCTTCAGGTGCTTCAGGTGTTTCAGGTGTTTCCTATGAATGGTTCTCCTCCTATTTAGATGATGGTACTCAGAAACGCATTTTCAATGGTTCCCTTTCCGAATCTTGCACCCTCAAATTTTCCAGGGATCAATATTAGGGCCTCTATTTTTTGGCTATATATCAATGACTTGCCCAATAATTATTGTCTGTCTTACTCTGACCCAAGAATGTATGTAGATGATACCCATTTGACTTATTGGAGTGGTAATATCCACTCCATTCAGTCTTCCCTAAATGAAGACTTGCTGAACATAAGTTGCTGGTTACTGCAAATAAATTACAGTGAAACCTGTATTAAGTGGATACCATATTAAGCGGACACCCTCTATTAAGCGGACAGTAGCCGAAGCCCCCAAATTTATTTCCCTTCTTTACTTTAAATGAAACCTTCATTAAGCGGACGCAGACACCTAAAAAGTACCTGAAATGGTCTATTGTTGCCAACCTGTATTTTAAAAACGGACACTTGTAATTAAATTCCACCACCCAACATGCCAGACACTGGAAAAGTGAAAGATTGCCTCGAATTGCCACCCAAAAATTTTTCGATTTTTACATTAAAAAACGTGACTTGACAAGCTTATTTGATTAGTTTCAAAGTACAGGATTGTTTTCTATTTGGTTTTGTTTGTATAGAGTTTGTTTCGCTCATCTGATTTCTCCAAATTTGAGTTGCAATCCATGTTTATGGTACTATGATTAATTGGTTCACTTTGATAAAGAAATTAATGCAAACGTCTATCGTCATAGTCTCTGGGAGTATTATAAACGCTTCCACTGTTCATTTGAATGGCATTTGACACCTCACATGACGTTATCTTTTAAAAACTGTATTAGGCGGACACCCTGTATTAAGCGGACACTACAGCATTCCCCGAGGGTATCCGCTTACTACAGGTTTCACTGTAACACTAAACATGACTAAAAGTGAGTTCATGTTAATCGGCTCAAGACGGCAAAAGCTTAATAATCTACCTTCTCTGCCTTCCTTAAATGTAAATAACATTCCTATCAAACATTCTCAATGCTTTAAGTCTTTTGGTGTGCTTATTGACAAAAATCTCACATGGGAAAACCATGATGATGCTTTATCTAAGGAAATTGCATATCTCGGTAATCAGGATTGTAAGTTACATAAGTGAACGGCATGTGCTGTACATCTACCTGACCTGTGAATAAACAAGTTTTGGCCTTTACGTTATTCCTTCGCAACTCATCTCATCGATCCTGTGTACCATGATTGTTCGATGAAGAAACAGCCTATCAGCACTGCTGTTGTTTTAGAATTTCGTGAATTATTATAATGAATTACAAAATGGTATTGAAACCTTAGCGAGTTATATGAATGTAAGCATATTTGTCATCGTGATCGGGTCATTTTTTATATTACGCTCTGAGGGTTTCATAATGCCAGCAAGTCTAAGTCATTGACTTTAATAAGAAAGAATTCATATGTTCAACTGTTCTACAAACTGTCTTTGTCCTATTCTCATCGTAACTAACGGCAGCATTTCCCTTCTCAATGAGAACTTCTAGTATAGAAATAGCTTTTGCCACAGCGGGGCTGTTCTGTGGAACAATTTGCCCACTGATGTAAGACAAGCAAAATCTTTACTTGCTTTTGGAAACTGGTAACTTCTAGCTGGAACACAGCATTCATGAAAAACAGGCCTTAATTTTATAAATTAATTTTATTTATTTGTTTATTTCAACATTCATTTGGAAGTGCTATTACTGTTTACCAGTAGTCAATAGTTTGTAACTTTTAGGATATTGTGTGTAATTAGTAAAATCCGACCACTGGTCTATTATTGATGCTGTGTTCTGATTGGTTGAGCTACTACTAGGCTATATGTTATAGCCCCCTAGTAGTGAAACGTGCCGGCTTTTTGGCAGCAAAAAAGGATTAAAGTCTAGCTTTAACTAGCTTTAGTTGTTTTGTCTCGATATTTGTGACCAACTAGTTGGATTTTACTAAAACAATTATTCCTCTCTTCCTAATGGCCTCTGAGTCAATAGCCCATACGGTGTTGGACCTCATGGGCTATTGACTCAGAGCCCATTCGGGCTCGAGGAATAATATATTGTTAATTAGCCTGATGTTTTTACCATGTATAAATAAACATGATGATGATGATGATGATGATGATGATGATGATGATGATGGTGGTGATGATGATAAGCTGTCATGGTGCAGGCCCTCTTTTAAGTACCTCTCCCATCCATGGGGGGAGGAGTGGAGTTGTAATATTCACTCCATGGTGCTTCATGGTGCTTCCAATCAAGATAAGCTCTCACTGTGCAGGTCCTCTCCCTTGTTTTTAAGTACCTCTTCTATCCATGGGGGGAAGGGCTGGAGTTGTAATATTCACCCCATGGTGCTTCATGGTGCTTCCAACCAAGATAAGCTCTCACTGTGCAGGCCCTCTCACTTATTTTAAGTATCTTTACCATCCATGGGGGGAGGGGGTGGAGTTGTAATATTCACCCCATAGTGCTTCCAACCAAGATAAGCTCTCACTGTGCAGGCCCTCTCGCTTGTTTTAAGTACCTCTCCCATCCATGGGGGGAGGGGGTGCAGTTGTAATATTCACCCCAGTGCTTCATGGTGCTTCTAACCAAGATAAGCTCTCACTGTGCAGGCCCTCTTGGCTGTTTTAATTACCTTTCCTATCCATGGGGGAGGGGGTGGAGTTCAAATATTCACCCCTTGGTGCTTCATGGTGCTTCCAACCAACATAAGCTCTCACTGTGCAGGCCCTCTCGCTTGTTTTAAGTACCTCTCCCATCCATTGGGGGGAGGGGTTCAGGAGTTTTTATGTTTACTCCTTGGTGCTTTATGCTTCCCCCATCAAGATACTGTAATCTCTTGCTGTGCAGTCCCTCTGGCTTGTACCTCTTTTGGAATGTTGAGTTAGTGAACCACTAAGCTTACAGATCCTTTCAGTCACAAGAAATTAAATGGATAAATAATACACATGTATGTCAATGATCCTCACCTCTCAGTGTGGTACTCAGTCTAAGCAGATGCTAAAAAGTAAGGAAAGTTTCTCATCTCAGTCAAATTTACCCAAAAGACAATTCTCAAGTCTTCTAACTTATATGTAATTACGGTTTTGTATGAACTTAGTAACGCATCTTTTAAGGAAAACCTCTAGTAAATTTATAATGTTTCTCTTTTTTCAGGATTTGACGTCCTTTCCTAGCACAGCCTCTACATCACAGGAAGACCATGAAAGCAATTCAGAATCCATTTCCGTCCGGACTTTGAGGGTAACTCTGTTAAGCAGTGAATGGAGATCAACAAAAGGAGGCTTGTCAACTATCAACCGAGAGCTGGCCATTCAGTTGGCAAAACACCCCAGCGTGGAGGTCAGTGTTTATCTCCCTCAGTGTTGTGAAGAGGATAAACAAGTTGCTAGAGATCACAATGTCCGCCTCATTAAAGCAAGAGAAATGCCAGGTCTAGAACCAAATTTCTGGTTGTCTTGTCTGCCAGAAGACCATGCTGTGGACTGTGTGATAGGACATGGGGCTGTTCTTGGTCGGCAAGTTCAGTTTATCAAGCGAACTCATCCTTTCTGCAAGTGGATTCAGGTTGTTCATACCGCTCCAGAAGAACTTGGAATGTACAAAGGATATGAAGAACGCATTTCTCAAGGTGAAGAGAAACACCAAGTGGAGGTTGAACTCTGTAAATTGGCTGATCAAGTTGTAGCTGTTGGACCCAAGCTGGCTGAAGCTTTTTCAGGTTATCTTCGTCCTTTTGGAAAGGATCAAGATGTTCTCAATCTTACCCCAGGCATTTTCTCTGAGTTTGCTGATGTAAAGCAAGCCTCTCAAGAACTAAGTTCATTTAGTGTTTTAGTGTTTGGACGTGGTGACAGTGAAGATTTTCAGCTGAAAGGATATGATATCGCTGCCCAAGCCATTGCTGAGTTGAAAGACATAACCTACAAACTTGTGTTTGTTGGAGCAACACGGGGAGAAGAAGAGAAAGTAGCAGACTTGCTACTTAAGTATGGCATTGATCGCAGTCAACTCAGGGTGCGGCGTTTTAATGAAAGCAGAGAGAAGTTAGCCCAATTGTTTTGTGAAGTAGATCTTGCTATAATGCCATCACGAACTGAGGGATTCGGTCTAGCTGCCCTTGAGGCTTTATCAGCTGGTCTGCCCGTGCTGGTTAGTGGGAACTCTGGTCTTGGCGAAGCTTTGAAGAAAGTTTCGTTTGGTTCAAACTGCGTCGTGAAGTCGGAAAATCCAAAAGATTGGGCCAGTGCAATCAGAATTGTCCGTGAAAAAGACAGAGAGATGCGACTTGACGAGTGTAAAACCCTACGTGAAAAATACGCTGCGAAGCACAACTGGCGAGATGACTGTAATAGACTTGTGGAACGAATGCTAAACATTTCTGGAGGTAACATGTTCACAGTGTTATTTAAGTTGGTCTTTATGTTTTAGAATACTGACGTTAGGAACTGCACATGTTGATGTACGAGTTACGCAGCTACAACAACCATTAGTGAAAAGCTGAGTAATACAATGAATTTACATTCATTCAAACTTCATCACCATTTTTCCAACTCGCACAATTTGTTAAAGGCATGCGAATATTTCTGGACTTGAATTTTGTAAAAACAGGAACGAAAATTTTCTGTTCTGTGTTCTTTGTAAAAGTTTGATTAGTAAACGGCAAAGAAATGTACAAAATCTTTTGTCATCCTGGCGGTTGCCTAATACATGGTTCCCAAACAATCGTCCAGATTCTCTTAATTAATCGCTGCTAATTTTTTGGGCAAGTCGTTCCGGACGATTACTAAAAGGACGTAGCCTGAAAACAAAAAACTTCAGTTTTGTCCAAGGTTGAGTTGTTTGAAACATGTTTAACTGTAATCCTACGAAGTTACGCAAACTCATACAACAACCAGTAGTGAAATCCTGAGTAAGAAAATGAATTCGCGTTCATGTAAACTTCATCGCAATTTTTCTAGTCCGGATCATCATAATCGCCCTAAGTTTTTGGACTAAATTGCTTCGGACAATTGTTCAAGGTTGAGTTATGGGAGGCAGCGTGGCCGAGTGGTTAGAGCGCTGGACTTGTAATCCGGAAGCCCCGAGTTCAAGTCCCGCCCTGACCGCTAGCTGGATTTGTTCACTGTAGTCCCGAGTTCAAATCCTGGACCACGCTTGTAAACAGCCAACTGGTTTGCCTCCGGTCAGTTAGGATTCTTAACCCTATTATGTTTATTTGAATTATTTATTTCACTCATTTGCTCGGCCCCGCTAGCGTAAGTGCTATAAATACTGCCGAGGGTAAATAAAGAAATTATTATCATAGTTGACAAAAAGATGTTTATCTGTGATCCTAGTTTAACTAACTCTAAATAGAGCATATGAGTTGTCATGGTAACCAACCCTGGTATGTGCTAATCTCCTTAAAAAAACTCGGTCCAGGCCATGGCTATCTTCGAAACACATGCTGGATCGTCTCAATCACCTGGAAACACTGTGCCATAACTAGCCCGATCGAAAGGATGCTGACGATAAGAGACCTTACGATTTGACAACGCTGACGCCAATAAAAGTGTGCTGAAAAATAAATTTCGCATTCTCTCAAACTTTTTTGCGATTGGAGTGGATTGGTGAAACTCTTAAACTCTGTTTAAATCAACGGGTCTGCGACGTTGATAAAGAATTGTTTCTATTTTTTGTAGGTTCCAATACAGATGAGCAGGATTTATCTAAGAAAGCGGCTGTGATTTGTCAAGATGTAAAAGCCTCTTCTTCTGTGAAATCTCTTCAAAAAGGTACACTTAAGTTGAATCTTGGAAAAATGAACATAATATTTATAAGAGTAAATCTTTGTTTTTCATGTAAAACGTTTACCGTAGTCTAACGAGAGCTTATTGAGTATTCCTTGCTGGACAATTGGATTAACCAGGAATAGTCGGGGCACTGAAAAACGCTCGTCTGAAAAGAGTCGAAATTCTTTCACAATGTCACAGGTCAAACTACGTCAATTGCCGACAAAAAGCACTCGGGTTTAAGCTTTACTTGAAAGGTGAAAAATTCCTGACCACTGTTTCAGAAGAGCTTTGTCCGTTGACTAACAAACGAGCCTGTTTTTTCCAAGATGGGTGATCCGACGTCTCTAGTGTGAAAACGGCCATTATAAATGATGGATATACCTTTGTAAATGAACGCGATTCATGAGACCTCCAAATCCCTAGATTTGCCACAATTAGGAACCTTAGAAATATCTTTCCTCCAACGATTTTGTTCGCTTTTAGCCCCAAGCAGGATTAGTCGTCATGGTATGTAGCGTTAAGAATATGTTGGTATGACTGTGGTGCTTATGCTCAGCAGTATTGCGCGCCAAGAGTGTATGTGCGTGTGTGTGTGAAGACGAATATGGCAGAGATAGCTTTACTACATAAACACCAATGAAATACCAGGTGATCTTTCGCGCCAAAACGTGATAACTTCACATGTGAAAATATCACCGTTGCTATGGCTACGTAGTAATTTGCGCCTTTCATACCAAAAAACTATTAAAGTGAAATGGCTTGGTGTTTCATTGGTGTTTATATAATAAATAGAACATTACATGGCCAGCTGGAGATACGAAATTTCTCTCGTGTTGAAAAAATATTTCACTTGTTCGCTACGCTCACTCGTGAAATATTTTTCAACCCTCGAATTCCCAATCTCCGCGCGGCCATCATATCCTCTATATATTTACTGTTCCGTCTACATTTGTGTATAAACCTCTTTAATCATGGCCGTTCCGGATGGTTAACAAATACTTTAAAGGTCGGTTAATGAATAAATTTTCTTCGGAACAGTTATTTAAACAAAAGCCTAATTATGTTGGTATTTGCTGGATTTAGTCTCAGGCGCAGCAAAGAGATGGAAGTCTTCAAAAAAAGGCAAAAGGCCTTTATCTTCAAGCAATACTCCAAAACATCCGAGACTGTTGCGAGATGAAGGTAAAGTTTTACTTTTCCTTTATTTAGGTAAGGGTTGGTATTGTATTGCGTGTATATGACAGAGTATATGTAAACTTTCCCAATATAGTATAATGGGGCCTTTGTAGCTGGTCTTGTGTTCCCCAAGCACGTCTTCATAACCTGCGTAACTGACGAAACCAGACGGTGGTAGTGGTTTTCCTTGGCGTAGCAGCTCGTGCGCGCTGGATTTCTCCCAGCGAGAGTAGTTGCGAATCTATTTTGATCCTTCTCTTTCGCTTTCTATATGTCCCTTTGCCTTTCATTTACATAGCCAGTTTTGTTGCCCACTTAACAACTGCGTCTTTTAGTGGAGGTGGGTGTCCGGGCTGCCAGGGGCCACCACTTTGTAGACACACTGTAATTTTCAGGGAGTTATAATAACTCCTCTAGTGGGGCTAATTTAACTCCTGACAGTGGAGTTATTTTTCGTGGAGTTATTTTAACTCCAAAAAGGAGTTTAAAGAACTCTTTTTCAGGAGTAAAAGTGACGCCAGATATTGAGGAGTTAAAATAACCCCAAAACAGGAGTTATCCTGTACCTAAAATTTTTACTCCACTTTCAGAGTTAAATTAACTCCAAAAAGAGTAAAAACAACCCATGTAAGGAGTACAAGTAACCCCATTTCGGAGTAATTTTAACTCCAGACTGGGAGTAAAAAGAACTCTTTTTCAGGAGTAAAAATGACCCCAAATTCGGAGTTAAATTAGGAGTTAAAATAACCCCAAAAATGGGGTTATCCTGTACCTAAAATTTTTACTCCATTTTTGGAGTTATAATAACTCCCTAAAAATTACGGTGCAGAGTTACGCCCCCATGGCTGGTAACCCCGCGCCTTCCAGCCACGTCTGGCCCACTCTCCCAATTTCGAACGTGCTTTATAACACTCTCAAGCTACAATCAGGCGACTGTAGAATTTTTAGCACATTTTGGCCCAAAATATAGTCAAATCGCGCTACAATTCCTTGAGTGAAAACCTCACAAGAACAAATTTTCTGTCTCTTTTTGAATATGGATGAAGTCCCTAACAATTCAACTCAACGAGAAAAGTTCACCTAAATTTGACAAATTGTTAGAGTAAGGAAAAAATTGCGATAACTTTGAAAGAACGCGAAGTTAATTTTACTTTTTCGAGACGTCAAACTGCCGTCGACTTTTGTATGTGGTTATCTAAACTCCCTACTGTGGTAACAGTCTAAAACTAAAAGCGTATAAACGGAAACAGAAGAATCTCTCATCGTAATTTTTGCCATACATGTAAACCTGATTTTCTTTAGGCCTCAAAATTTTCCATAGATGAACAGAAAATTTTCATATTTGGTTGTTTGTTGTTGCATCAAAAGTTTATCAGGAAACAGTGGCTCCGCTTATTTCTACGAGGTCAAGCTAAGTCCATTTTAATGCCGTTTATAGTTAACGATGTTTAGCGATGTTTAGATAGTAACAGGTTACTAAATAAATATTTTAATACCTATATAGCGCGAAATACATTTGAGTATGATCTGATGTACTTTACATTAAAGCTAAACTGAATAAACTATACAAAATGAACTGCGTGCATTTTAACATTGTTTATAGTAAACAATATTTAGATAGAAGGGTTTAGCCAAATTAAAAATAGCTTAGAACTCGGTTTCAGTGACGGTTAAACGCTGGCTAATCTCCGTTCATCCCTGATGCTTTGACGCAAAGAATAATTGTGTTACTACTCTTTTTTTAGGTCCCAATAAACATGAGCAGCAGTTACCTAAGAAAGCCTCTGTGATCTGTCAAGTTGAAAAACCCTCTTCTTCTGAAAAACGTCTTCAAAAAGGTATTCTTGAATCGTAGGTGAACAATGTTAACAATGTTAGCCGTAAGCAGGATTTCTTATTAGTGTACAGTCGACTCTCTCTTAACGGACACCTCTATAAGACGGACACCTCTGTAAAACGGACACTTAGAGTTGGTCCCTGCCTTTCTTTACTCCCTTTATTTGACTCTCTCTAAGACGGACACTTAGTGCCGGTCCCAAAGGTGTCCGTCTTAGAGAGAGTTGACTGTATTTAGCTTCAGGAATACTTTTTTGTATAATAATCTTTCATAAGTTGCGGAAATATCTTCGGCACAGTTAACAGGACAAAATTTGTAGCTTCGGATGGCAAGAACTGGACATGGATTGAAAATTAAAATAATTGGGCCAACCCTTTTACACGTTTTAATGCTATGCCTTCAGAAATTTAAAAAAAAAACTATATTATGGCTAGTATTCGTTGATGAAATTTGTTTGATCTTCTTCATAACATCACAGGAGTATTTCGTTTCAGCAAGAGAGGTTCTCTCTTGGTTTCAGTGATGACTTCAGCCCAGAATTGAGCTAAAAGAGCTACCTTATTAGTACTTGATTTCGCGATTTTGGCAAGACTTAATTTGGCGGGGTTTTATTTTCGCGATTTCACTAGGCAATCATTATGAAAAAAGGCATTAGATTTTGCAATTAAAGCGTTCTCAACCTGATTTTACTTTTTTAAACGTCTGAACTTTTTAAAACAATTAATTGAGCTAAAAGAGCTACCTTAGTAGTACTTAATTTCGCGATTTTGGCAAGACTTAATTTGGCAGGGTTTTATTTTCGCGATTTCACTAGGCAATCATTTATGAAAAAAGGCATTAGATTTTGCAATTAAAGCGTTCTCAACCTGATTTTATTTTTTTAAACGTCTGAACTTTTTAAAACAATTAATTGAGCTAAAAGAGCTACCTTAGTAGTACTTAATTTCGCGATTTTGGCAAGACTTAATTTGGCGGGGTTTTATTTTCGCGATTTCACTAGGCAATCATTATGAAAAAAGGCATTAGATTTTGCAATTAAAGCGTTCTCAACCTGATTTTATTTTTTTCAACGTCTGAACTTTTTAAAATATCGAGGTAAAATGAAACAAGAAAAACGCATATTTACGTTATTTTACAACAGAAGACACAGTCAAGGAATGGAACTGAGCGGTTAACCAGCTAATAATTTGTCGTTATTACTTCGGTGGAGCGCGAAGTAAAGGACTTGCGACGCTCTGGAATGTATCAAAGTTGACCTTTTTTGGCAAGATTGGGCGTGCAAAGTCTGTAGGTTTTCTGCTTTATTCTGGTATTTGACGAAGTGAAAGCCTAATTAGTTCGAGATGTCTCGAGAACACTTCAATTTATTTTATTTATTCTTTAACTTATTCGATAAAGAAAGAATTATTATTTTGTCTTGCCCGGAATTGAACCGACTCAAAATAGTTATGAAATTATGCACCAGTATCGGGACAAGATTGGGCGCGCAAGTTCGTGACTTTTCGGCTTGTTTCGGCTATTTCACGAAATGAGACCGGAATTACTTCGAGACATCTTGAGATCACTTTGAGTTTAGTCTTTTATTTACTCGAGGAATAAATGGAGGATATTACGTGGCCGCGCAGAGACACGAAATTGCTCTTCGAGTTTTGAAAAACATTTCACGAGTGAGCGCTCCTTTCGAACTGTCTTATGATGAATTTAAAGTTACAAAATGCTGAACGGAGACGTTTGTCTTTGTTGAGTGTTACGTAGTAAAATTGCTGTCATGTGTTGCGTGGCCTCTATAGGATTATTTATAAATTATTAATTAGGGCATGTTTACATTTGAGCATAAGTCAGCAGAGCTACTACCTGTTTAGTATTTTCTATAACCTTAGAAACATGAGCTTATTCCTTGCGGGGATGGTAAATAAACAAGAAGTGGTCGAAGCATTGAACAAGACGCGTTTAAAATTGACTTACAAGGTCAAAACCTTTTTGCACTGGTTACAGGCTAACAATGGTAGATGCCGAAAAATAATACTCCTTTCAGGTTTACGTTTTTTGTGCCAAATAGGGTAATGGACCACAGCATAAGAAAATTGCATTTTATCATAGAGGCTTGGTTGTTTTGAATATGTTATTTTCAGTGAAATTTTCAGCTTGGGACTTCTAAATGCTGGCCATTGCTGCAGTGTAGAAGTGTTACGTAACAATAGACCTCTTTAGATTGTATGTTTTGCTTTCCCAATGCAGATCATGTGTTAATACCCTATTGAACTGTTTCTTTCAAATTACATCTTATTCACGTGCGTACATGCCTGTACCTACGCATAAAAAGAGACAAAGCGTCAAGTTCCCCTCTGCACCTCTCTATTGGGAAAAAGAAAACATACAAGCTAAAGAGGGCTATTGATTGCCCAACAGTAATCCTAATTTCAGAATCCGGAAAACTTTTGCTTGTCAAATCTGGAATTCAGGAATTTTTTTTCGTGAAATCCGTATTCCTGGGCCTTGGGAGTTAAGGACTGGAATCCGGAATCCCCAGCTTGGAATCCAGAATCCAAGTCTTTCTTGCCCTGTATTTTTGTTTGATTGGTTCAATTCAACATAGTTTTGCAGCGTCTGGAAATTACAAAGTTCAGGGCTCGAACACTCGACAGGCCTTTTTCTATGGGGCGCCAAATGTATTTTTATTATTTAGAGTGGTTATTTGTATATAACCAAAACAAGAGTGGTTATTTACAAATAACCACATCACAGTTTTATTATTTCTAAATAACCAAAATATAAAATTGTTTATTTACAAATAACCAAAACTGAAATTTGGTTATTTAGCAAATAACCAAAAATTAAAAAGAGGTTATTTCTAAATAACCAAATGCGAGATTGGTTATTTACCAAATAACCAAAATGCAAGATTGGTTATTTATTAAATAACCAAAAATGCGAAATTGGTTATTTATTAAATAACCAAAATGCAGGCAGAATGGAAAATTGGTTATTTATAAACAAACATGGACAATTAAAAATCCAAAACTGCGCAAAAATGGTTATTTAATACAGAAATGGTTATTTACCTAATTTGGTCTTTGCAAGTGGCTACGTGGCCCACTTTTCCGCTCATTTCCCGTGACGACTAGCAGACTTCTATTTCCAACATGGCTTCTTCCACTTCCTTCACTTTCGTTTTTTCTCTTTCATTTACCTTCTTCCACCCTCATTTTCCTTCAGTTACCTTCATTTTCCTCCGTACACCTTCATTCGCTTTCATTAATCTTCATTTTCCTTCAGTTATTTTAATTCACCTTCATTCTAATTCATTTACCTTCATTCACACTCATCCTTCGTCATGAATATTCATCTACCTACATAGGCCTTCATTTACCTTTGCCTTCTTTCACCTTCATCTACCATCATCTTCCTCCATTAGCCTTCATTTACCTTCATCTACTCCTATTAGCCTTTATCCACGGTCACCTACATTCATTAGCCTTCTTTTACCTTCATACGCCTACATCTACCACCATTAGTCTTCATTTAACGTCATCTACTTCAGTTGGTTTTCATGACAGTCCAGAGATTATCCAACGAATTGTCGTGCCGTCACATTATTCATTTCTGACTAACTTGTTCCTTTGTCCTTTAATCTTCAGACATTACACATATTCAAAAATAATTTTGCATTTCCGTGAAACGTATCGTATTTTACATTGTTTTGTTATACAACAGGGTCTTAACGAGGTATATATTTTCCCGACTGATCTCACATTTTGGCCATAAAATTTTGATACCTGATCCAAAATTGTTGCAAATCCTGATCCTTGATCCCGTGAAAATCTTTTGATCCCTGGACTGAATTCTGTACTTGCTAAAAACTGAATGAAATACCAAATATAGTGTCTCTTTTTTCGATTTCTTTTACAATTTTCTTGGTCACATCATTTGCTGACTGGAGAATTAAGGTTGGCTCCCGTCTGTTCTTTCGAGTTATCATAATTTCTATCATAATCTGTTCCACTTAAGAGCTCCAATAATGATGTATCTTCTAATAAACCTTTCGTACGCAAGTGGGGAGGAAAGTTGTAGCGCCGAAGGCGACCCAACCTTGTGGATCTGAGGGCATGCTCCCCCAGAAAATTTTTAAATTTAGGGTCTCGGAAATCCTATTCCAGCGTTTTCCTCGGGACATTTTCAGTAAATTAATAGGCAGGAAAATGCTACTTTCCTGCTCCTGAGATCTCTTTCGCTAAAGATTGGCTTGACCAATGATCAAAAGTACCTAAAGAATTCCACTATATCAGGATGATTAGAGAATCCTGTCGCAATAGCCTTTGCGTTACGGGCAGCCACCTTGGATGAGCGTCAAAACTACTCAGGGACTATTTTTCTCGCTTCCCTCCAAACCGCCCCCCGCCCCCTAAGTAGTTTTGACACTCATCCAAGATGGGCGCTCGTAACGCAAAGTGCTCGATTTCGACGATCTTACGGAAAAATAGGGACTGTGAGGTGTGAACAGTCTGTAGTGGCATGTATCAGATTTGGATCGGTCAGCTAACTTCAAAGCAGCTCGGAGCCATTTCTGCATTTAACCGCGCTATGTTTTTGGAAGAAGCCATGTTGGAAATAGAAGTCTGCAGGTCGTTATGGGAACTGAGAGGGAAAATAGGCCACGTGGCCACTTGCTAAGACCAAATTAGGTAAATAACCATTTCTATATTAAATAACCATTTTTGCACATTTTTGGATTTTTAATCGTCCAAAGCAAGTTTGTTTATTTACTAAATAACCAATTGTCCAGTTTGTTCATAAATAACCAATTTTCCATTCTGCCCGCTACCAATTTCGCATTTTGGTTATTTAATAAATAACCAATTTCGCATTTTGGTTATTTAATAAATAACCAATCTCGCATTTTGGTTATTTGATAAATAACCAATCTCGCATTTTGGTTATTTAATAAATAACCAATCTCGCTTCTGGTTATTTAGAAATAACCACTTTTTAATTTTTGGTTATTTTACAAAATAACTAAATTTCAGTTTTGGTTACTGATTTGTAAATAACCAATTTTATATTTTGGTTATTTAGAAATAATAAAACTGTAATGTGGTTATTTGTAAATAACCAACATTGTTTTGGTTATATACAAATAACCACTCTAAATAATAAAAATACATTTGGCGCCCCATATTTTTCAAGCTTTGTTAATAGAATGGCCATATAGAGCCTAATATTTAGGTGGACAGTTAGTAAAATTGCAAATAAGGATTGAATATTAGTGTATATATCGTAAAGGTAGAAAATAATATTGGGGAAAAGTACAAAAACAGTATTTGATTGGATTTTAGGCGCGGCAAAGAAATGCCAGTCTTCCAAGAAAGGCAAAAGGCCGTTATCTTCAAGTAACATTCCAGCTCCAAAATACCCAAGGCCATTAGAAGATGAAGGTAAGGTTTGTTTTTGCTCATGTTCGAATAAGGGTTAGTTGTTTCTTTTTATGTATATTGTATATGTACAATCTACTTAGTGGGGAAGATGTTTTTCCGCAGTCAGTGATACAGGCGGCTTGTGAAAAAATTCAAGTACTCCCCGAGTAGGAGTCGAACCTATGACCTTCTGGTTACTGGTAGAGATGCTCTACCACTGAGCCACAGGAGACTCGTTGGAACTGAGGCCACTAAACTAGGTTCACGTGACAAACATCCTGAAAACTGCCCCGAGGACTATAGGACTAGTATCACACACTACATCGGAAGTAACACACAGTGGATAATGTTGTGTTCATTGATTGAGGCTCTATAATGCCCGTACGGCCCTGCTTCCGGTTTGAAGTTGGGCTCTCACAAGGCTTGAGTTGCTCTCATTCACGCTTGGAGCAGATTGTACGCTTTCCACGTCTGGCCCACTCTTCCAATTTCGAAACGTGCTTCATAACACCCTCAAGCTACAATAAGGCCAATTTAGAATTTTGAGCACATTTTGGCCCAAATAGGAATGTGTGGCTTTGCGTTTGTGTTAGTTTATGGTTTATAGATCGAGGAATATTACATTTGGAGTGTGCCTTTCTTGGTTTTTGCGCTTGTGTTGGTTTATGGTTTATAGAACGAGGAATATTACGGTGCGGGTGTATTGGACAACCCTCCAAAACGTAGTCAAGTCGCGCTACAGTTGCTTGGGGGAAAGATTATGCATGGTCAACGGTTTAGTTCCTCACTCAGTGTTTTTTGTTTGTTTGTTTGTTTTTTTTTTTTGCGTCACTACCAGAGGCGCAGCACAATAAAGTTTCCTCTTGGTTTATTTGTTTGTTCTCTGTTAAGGAATTTTCCATCTGAAGTTTGTTAACTCTGACAAGATAAACGAAGCCTTTCTGAGAGTTATGACATTTGCCTAAAGACTTTGATGGATCACCAATGATGTGTTACAAAAATCTTTAAGGCGACGTAATTTTACAAAGAATGCGTTTTACGTGTAAATGTGGGAGGAGAGTAAATGTGGCAGTATACTTTAGAACTTATTTAATCCCAATATGATAAGGAAGTTAGTTTTTGTGGTGCTGTATCATGCAGTGAGGAAGTAAAACACAGAAATTCGGTATTAACTAATAAGTTAAAAAATTTAGTTCGAGCTCCAGCCGTCCGATAGTTACTGTTCCTTAGCTTTCCTTATTCAACGTTATCTTGTGAAGCCTATCTACGCACAGCGAGAAAGAGCAAATAGTGAGTTCACTAACGGTGAACTTACGCAAAAGAAAGCCGAAGGAAAGAAGAGAGCAAACCTTGAGTGACAAACGTGTCCATAATTTGTTTGAAAATTTTTCCGCCAAAGTTGACTTTCCTTTAAACACATCTCAGTTTAAAAGACCAGAATACTTTATCGGTAAATGAAAATCACGACAAAACTCGTAATTGATAACCCATTCACGTTTGTCACACAGAAACGTTTTGCCGGCATCTTCGTCTCTCTGTCGTCCTTTTGCGTAAGCCCCTTAATTTTAAGGAACAACGGTAAAGATTTTCAGGTGGCGTATATACAGGGGCACCCAACGAGAATATAGTTCAAAACCACTTAAACATAGCATTGTTAAACGTATTTTAGGATTTAAACGGTAGATATAGGCATATTTTTATCCCCTAAAAATTTTTCATCTGTTCGGATTTCCTAGCTGAAAGTCTAGTGATCCGAAAATTATAGGGATCAAAACTTACCTTTTCGAAAATTTCAGCCAGAAAAAAGGCTTCCGAAAATTCTAGGTGACCTTTTTAGGGTAAAAATCCGTTAAAATTTAGGCAAATATACCATGTTTTGGATGTTCGAAAATCCTAGGAGAGGCAGGCAAGCAAGAAATTTGACGACAAATGTTTCGAAAATTCTAGATCTCAAATCGTCTTCCGAACAGATATTCTTCCGAAAATTGTCGTTGGGTGCCCCTGTATATATTTTAACTTACTCACAAGCCACTGAAGGTAGAAAGAATTTTCGGTCATTCTACTGATCAAATGAATGAGAGGTCAGTATTTTACAAATTAATGAAAAATACTTCCGATCTTCTTTTTCTAGCCGACTCGTACATCTCAGTTGTTGTGAAACTTCTCAAAGCTGAATACAAAAGGCGCTCACAGTTAAGACCACTTCTTTGGGATAGCACCATCGAGTTACCCCTGAATGACGTCTATACAAGACTTAAAATCGTTTCAAGGCGAAAAGCAGACTTCCGGGTGGATGATAACGAGGTAAATGTGTTGGACATCTTCAGAGCTCTTGACAAAGGTGAGGATGTTATGACGCTTGTTGAAGGGAGTCCAGGAATCGGTAAAACTACGTTTTGCCTTAAACTTGCTTATGACTGGGCACATGGAAAAATCCCAGCCGAGTGTTCTTTTCCCAAATTCGAGATCGTGTTGCTTTTGAAATGTCGAGACATACATGAAGATATAATGGAAACCATCAGTGAACAACTGTTGCCAGAAGATATGGAGGAGAAGACTAAAGAAAGACTATTTGATTTCATTAAGGACTTTCATCACCAGGAGAAAACTTTAATCCTTTTGGACGGTTTGGATGAGCTTCCCAAAGATTCCGAACGTTATGTAGATAAACTGCTTCAAAGAAGAATTTTATCATTTTGTTATGTTTTGGCTACCTCCAGACAAGAGAGGGGAATTGATGTACGGAAAAGGTACGGTTTCGATATCCTCTTGGAGATTAAAGGATTCACCGAGAGTGATGCTTTTGATTATATCCGAAAACATTTTAAAAATGTTGGTCCCTTGCATTCATCAAAGGGAGAAAGTCTCATTAAGGAAATGGAAGAAAACACTCTGTTACATGCCCTGCGAAATAATCCTCTAAATTTACTTCTTCTTTGTGTTATTTATGAGGACTATGAGGGGAATTTGCCATCTTCCCGTTCTGAGCTCTACCAAGTTATTGTACTGTGCCTTTTAAGGAGACTTTGCGTTAAACACAATCTAGAGGCTCCTAAAGAAAACAGCGCCTTAGAGAAACAATTTGAAGAGACCATTCTTGCACTTGGAGAGTTAGCTTGGTTGTGTTTGCTGAGTGATCGCTATTGTTTTCTTGAAAGTGAATTAGTTGCGCTTGAAAGAAGATACAAAGGATTAGTATCTCGTCACGTAGGCCTAGTTTACAAAGAAGAAAGTCTGAGCAGGTTAAAGCCTCAACATGAGTACTATTTTCTTCACAAGACCTTCCAAGAGTACCTGGCTGCCGCCTTTATTGCTCACAAGTTGCGGGGAAACCAGTTGAGGTTGTTTGAGCGTCTTAGTTTTCATGAACTAGTGAAAAAGTATCGAGAAGTGTTTCTTTTTGTTTCCGGTATACTTGGGAGAGATGCAAGCATTTTATTCGCTCAGATTGGCGAGGAGCTAAAAAACTGGGGAAAATGGGACTGGGTCCGGTGCACACAGTCTGAAGTGGTGACAGTGGATGACCGAGAGAGGGAAGATGACTGGTATGACCGTGACAACGACGACGAGGGGGACCAAGGCTGGGAAGCAGCAACTTTCCTTACGAAAAGCATCAGTGAAACTGGACATGCTGAAAAAATGGCAGAGACCTTTTGTTTCTGCTTACCGTTTCCCGCGCATGTTGAGATTTCCCTTCCTTCCAGTTATAATATTTATCACGTTTTAGAGGCCTTTAGAAAGTTTTCAAATGTGCAGAAGCCAGTTTGCCTTACGTTTCATGATCGACTCAGGCTGAAAGACAGTGACTATCAGACTGTTGTAGAGTACATACAATTTTGCTCTGAGCTTCAGACTCTTAGCATTTTTACCCCTGCGATGAAATCAGATCTAGCCATAGCCCTACGTAACGGCTTATCCGGAAACATGACTTTATCAGAGTTTACTCTTGAAGTGTGTGGCAGTATCCCTTGTGACGCAGCTCTTGTCATCGGTGAATTGTTGGCTTCACGTAAATCGTTGAAGACCGTAAAATTTCTACTTCGTAGAGTGCAAGGCGTAGCTTGGGCCAGTGCTATTGAAACTGGATTGTCTGCTGACACTCTTTTGTCGTCTGTGAGCCTCAGCGTTCGTTGGTCATTGAGTGATACCGCGGTCCACGCATTAGGAAAGCTGTTATCAAATGAAGCTGTAACCTCATTTTCCCTAAATATTTTTGGGGATATGCAAGATTTCCTAGCTACTATTATCGGTAAAGGGATCGCACAACAACCCTCATTAAAGTCGTTCAATCTTGGCGTCAATGGCAACCTTAGTAATTTTGCTGTTAATGTCCTAGAAAAAGGTCTTTTAGAAAATCATACTCTAAAGGATTTGAAAATGACTGTCCGAGGAAGAGTTCCAGACAACTGGCAAGCTCTTCCGGAACGTGTTCGGTTGGGAAATAATGCGTTAGTTACTTTAAGTGTTTACCCAGGTTCGTGCAGAAGAATAACGCATAATCAATTGGCTTATTTTTGTCCTGGTCCGGATGTGGTCGAGAAAGGCTTTCAGACGAAACAACATTTAACTGTAGTCCATTGGGGTGAGTTGAGTTGTGATGCGGGAGAAGCTCTATTTGAAGCCTTGGTACTTTCCCCACTGACAAGCCTTACTTTAAAAGTGCATGGAAAATTAACTTATAGAGTGGCTAATTGCATTGCAAGATATATTAGACGACACAAGACACTTTGCTCCATGACGATTGATGTTTGGGGGGAATTGGACCCAGGAACAGGGACTATTCTTCAGGGACTATCGGATAACCATGTAAATGTCGAGGTAAATGTTCATGACGTCTGTGTCGTCCCAGACGAATCGTGCAATGGCCTTGATGTCTGTATTGACAGTACTGAATCACTTCCGTCAGTACTCAATACAATCAAGAATACCAGAGAGGAAAAGATCAAATTAAAAATCGTTAACGACGATGGTGCAAGTAAAGACTGGACAAACCTTGTTGGTGATGCTTTGGCAGAAAACAAGACAGTAACCGCGCTCGATGTTACGATCAACAACTTCATAATAAACCCGACAGCAGACTTAGGGAATGAACTTGGGGAGAGTTTGTTGCGAAGCTCTTCTCTGACAGTTTTAAATCTCGCAATCAACAACTACAGTAACATGGCAAAAGGCTGGGAATGTAGATTGGTGAACTGCTTGGCCAAGGTGACTTCATTAACTACACTCAGTCTCGCAATTGAAGATCATGGTGCGCAGAGGACAGCAGAAGAAAGTTTGGGTGAGAGTTTGATGGCAATGACTTCACTGTCTACACTTTCCGTTGTAATCAATGGCAGGAATTTGGATGAATTCTGGAGTTGCTTTTTGCGAAACTGTTTGGTGGAAAACACTTCATTGTCCATACTCTGTGTCACAGTTAACAACTACAAAAACAACAACGAGAATGAAAACGAGAACGACAACGACAACGATTCGGTTGATTCGTTTTGTTACGTGTCAGCTGTCTCCGATGAGTCTGAATACTGGTATAAAGGTCTGGCTGATGGCTTAGCGCGAACTGCATCATTAAACGAATTAACTCTGACAATAAACGATGACACCTCTCCTTGTGACTACTGGATACAAAGTGTGTGTGAAGGATTGGAAGAAAACGAGACAGTAACTTCTCTTACTGTGACAACCAGCAGTGATGCCGGTTCCGTATTTTGTGAGATGTGGGTCTCTGACCTGCGTGATGGTTTAGCGTTAAACAAGTCATTAACTACACTCACCCTTATAATAAATGTGTACTCTGAAGGTGAGCGGCTGAAAGGCTATGACCCATACTTCGATGAAGCGATGAACCATATGAACACATCGTTTAGTACACTCAATCTGACCATCAACGTCTGCAGAGAAGCCACTGCAGACTGGTTACCCAATATTTGCCGCCTTCTAGAGAAGAGGTCTTCGTTGACAACATTTAGATTGAACGTTAACAACCATTGCGCTACAAATGAAAGTCGCATATATGACTTTAGTAAACTTCGTTTAAACTTCAGATCACTATCTTCATTTGAACGCACTGTAACTTTCTATGGAGAGTAAATCAAGTCAAGTGCCAAATGTTTCAAGAATTTGTTGTGCTTCGAGAATAGGGTACACATTTATAAAGAGAAATGATCAGTTTTGAATAGTGTTGATCAAAAAGGAAAGCTAACAAATATTCCAAGTTACTAGTAGCTTTGTAGTTTGATAAATATTGCAGCTGATGATTGTGACTTTTACACCATCTGGTTCAGTGAGACCAAGGTTAATACAACACGAGTTACTAGTGGTTTTAGAGTTTGATAAATATTGTAACCGATGATTGGGACTTGTACGCCATCTGGTCCAGTGAGACCAAGGTTAATACAACACGAGTTACTAGTAGTTTAGAGTTTGATAAATATTGTAACTGATGATTGTGACTTGTTCACCATCTGGTCCAGTGTGATCAAGGTTAATACAACATGAGTTACTTGTAGTTTTAGAGTTTGATAAATATTGTAACTGATGATTGTGACTTGTTCACCATCTGGTCCAGTGTGACCAAGGTTAATACAACACGAGGTACTTGTAGTTTTAGAGTTTGATAAATATTGTAACTGATGATTGTGACTTCTACGCCATCTGGTCCACTGTGGCCAAGGTTAATATGACATGAGTTACTAGTAGTTTTAGAGTTTGATAAATATTGTAACTAATGATTGTGACTTGTACGCTATCTGGTCCAGTGTGGCCAAGGTTAATACAACATGAGTTGCTAGTAGTTTTAGAGTTTGATAAATATTGTAACTAACGATTGGTGTATTCTTCTTATATTCCAATGGAGTTTGTATGATATTGACATATACAGAAAAGAAACTGTAATTTAGTTTATATTAAAATATGTAACTGTATTTCACTATGATTTAGTTTAGTCGGGGTTAATCCAGGAGCGATTCTCTTGTGAATCGATTGTATCTTTATTTGTGAATCAGCAGTGAACATTTCTTGCAAACAAGTAGGAGAGAACAGTGCAAACTACCTTAAGCACAAAAGCGCGAAGTTTAATTTCCTAGAATGATCTTGTTACATTTTAAACTCAACGAAATAAAGGTTTGTAAAGTAAAATTGCTTAGTGTTAAATTTTTTTGTAAGGCCTAAGCCAAACGTCGAACTTTTCACGAGATGAAACTAAGTTCCTGAAAAGTTCGACGTCTGCCTCAGTTAAGTTCACTCGTCTGAATGAGTTTGGATCGCCCATCTGAAGCAGACGGAAAAGATCGTCTCCGGGAAAACGTCGATCTTCACATGCAACTAGCTAAACTAATATTAAACTCATCGCCAATAGATGAGCTTGGGAACTGGTGCCTTAAAGGTTGGACGGGAGCCTGAAAGCCTCAGGCATAGCAAGGAGGTATCCATGGCAACCCTGCGAGCGGGAACCACCCCTGCATGCAGCCGCCAACTGGCACCATCACACTGAAAGAGTTCAGTGGTAAATACTCACCTAACCCTATATTTACTAATGCACAGAAGGGGAGGGACGGGCTGGGAGCCAGAATCCGCTAAGATTCGCTTAAGCAACAGATCCGCAAAGATCTGCTCAAAAATGCGCGCATGAGATGCAACATAAGTCACAAGATAAGCAAAAGGCCCCTGCGGTTACCCCACAGATCACGTACGCTTGAGGAGGAGACCGCTGATCGCATTGGCTAGTAATTTAACTTTGCCTAAATTACATTTAGCCACATTTAAAAATTTGTATGATAATGTATATTTAGCCTCTTTCAGGAAAAAAAATTATAAAATAGTTTTTTGGTCTGATTAAGTTCGACGTTTGACCCAACAGACGATCCTAACATAATTCAGCTCGACCTAAATTAGAGTTTGGTTTGTCTCCTGAAAAGTTCGACGTTTGGCCGAGGCCTAATCCAGATCATATTCGTAACTCGGGAACTAGCTTGTAGTCGAGGAACATGCGATGCGTCGGGGGGGAAGGGAGGGGGAGGAGATTTTCCTCTTCAATCCTATACGATCCCCGTTTTCTTGCTGGTTCCAGACCATCAAATAGAATCGGGAAGTGGTGTATTTACAGTGTGAGTTTATAGTGGCTACACGTACCTTGGTTTTTCCTCAATGTGGCTTCTTGGGGTGGTTGCTAATTTAATGTTCGTTAACACCCTGAAGTGCCTTTAAAATATTCACAAACAAATACTCGCAAAAGTCCTGTTAAGAGCACACAGTCATTATTTACAGGTGAAGAGGGAAAGGGAGGATAGAACGAGAACCGCTACTCTTATAGCATAGGCTGCGAGCAAGCTCTCCTATTTGGGCGAGCGAAGCGAGTCGCGAGAGAAGGCGCGAGCGAGCGGCGAAGCCGCGAGGGACCGCCCCCCACTTTCGCGTCTCCTGTCGCGTGCCTCTCGCGCGTCTAGTTTTCACGATATGCCCCAAATGGAAAGCTTGCCCGCAGGCTACTTACAGCACAGTTGTAGGGCACGTGATTGTTACTCAGGTTCAAACACGGTTGGACCATCAGTCCGGGACAAAGAATGACATCCTGCTGGGTGTGCACAAAAACTCTTTGCTTCACCTCAGATCCTCTCAGTTATGAGCCAGCTATGCTGAGAGTTTGCACCTGCCCATTTTTAATCGCGGTAATGGACTGGAACTAGCTTGTAATAGAGGCTCAAGCATCTTATTACCTCGCATTAGCATCGGCTGCAAGCTACAATCATGGACAAAAGCATTATCCATGACAAGAGTCTTGGGACGGCTGTACCGTTCGAAGGCTTTTTAGCACACGCTAAATTTATATCCGCGCGCTACTTGCACTGCACGTCTCCACCCCACGGACAGTGTCGAAACCGTCAAGGCACAATTTCTTTGCTCTTTCAACATTGTATTGAGTGCGGAAGGGGGTTATGGATCTTTAAAATGACAGCACTGCTTTTTAGAACAGTAAGTGTGATACACATAGAACTGCTGTTATGTTCTTACTGTCCCAAGGAGTTTTGTGCAGGATTGCAGACTCCGCTTTTCGCAAACAGAATTCCCCATTTGCACATCTCTTGTAATACATCTTGTTTGCACCCTCCAATTTTTTAAATTTCTCCTGAGGGTTACAGTCGTCTTAAGAGAAATTGAAGACAATGCATATACGGAATATTTGTAGGGCAAACAAAGTTTATTACGGGAGATGTGCAAATGGCGATTGGAACCCAGTCCCGTTTGTGAGGTCTAGCTGCTATTGTGGGTGTGGAAGAGAAGGGAGTGATATCAGAAGGGACAGGAAGGTCTTCTACTTTATGCACTTGCCAGTGGGGTAAAAAAAACTCAAGTGGCATTTGGAACATGACAACCTCATTTTTTTATCACCTTTGCTACTCCCATGTCTGAAAAAATAATGATAAACCCTCTCCTGTGTCAGTAGGACTACAACTTTGTCTCTTGTTTTCTGTCATCAGTACTCACTACTGTTTACCGTTACTCTATGCGCAGAACGATTCGTTTCTTTCAAATTTATTCATATCATCTTACCACCCACGTTCGAAAATAAACACTTAAATAAGCCTCGTTTATATTAGTAAAACTTAACCAGAAAAGTAATAGAGGAATAAAGCATTATTCGCGGACACCAAATCCTGACTACTGCGCAAGAAATTATTGTCCATTATAAGACCTTGTAACCTTTATTCTTAATGACCTCTTTGTTCTTTCCGTTTTTTTCTAACTTTTAACCTTATCAGGACTGCCTATTACTAGGCCTTTCCCGATTGTGCCCGGCAACTTTTGAGAATCTTTTGGCGATTGGCGCAACTTTTTGCAGTTCTAGAAACCTCGAACAAATTTTCAACCTCGTTACCAAGGTGGTAGAAGAGAACCCTGGGAACGAGGTTGGCAAATGTTGCCTTTCTGAGCAACTTTTGAGCAAAATATAGGCTTAGAGCACATATCAAGCACGAAAAAAGTCAACGATTTCATACAAAACGTTAATTTTTTAAATTTTATTTTTATTTTTGTTATTTTAATTTTTGCTTTTAAAATTTTTTGTTCTTGACCGATGTTAGTAATTATTGTGAAGAACAAAAAATAAAGCTTTTAATCAACGTTTATAATAAGAAATTTAGGTGGCAACTTTTGAAATTTAGGTAGCAACTTTTTGGATTTTTGGCAATTTTTTAGCAACTTTTTGGCATTGCAGTGAGAAACTTTCCAGTATTTTAGGAGCACAATCGGGAAAGGCCAACCTATTAACCCGGAGTTAGCCTGTCAGATAGAGGAGCGCGGAGTTCAGATGGTGGGGAGCGAGTTAAGTCGTACCCAGGGAAAACGAGGGAGAAACCAGGGGACATTGGGGCGAGTAGTTTCCCCTCCGCTAGTCACTCCAAGCCCGCGTAGCAAGCGCTTCCGGGAGCATTTTCGCGCAGTTTTTCACTCTCGTTCCTCGTTCTTTGCTCCGAAACGGCACGGAAACACCTGCTTCGGCGGTTAAGTCACCCCTCTTTTTTTTTTCCTCCTCAATTTTTCGCCCGCGCTCTTCAATCTGAAAGCCTGGAACAACAGGCTACCCCAGAGCCTTCCTCTCTTGGCTCCTGACTCTGTAGTATCCTACCTCTGCCAGGCGCCTAGTGATGGGGTCCTGCCTCTGCTTGTTCCTTTGTTTGTTTTTACTGGTTTTTGTCACATTTTACGTTTAGGGTCTTTTGTTGTGAGTTCTTCTCCTATACGTATCACATTAGAATGTAAACAAATTGTTCTATTTTCCTCGCGTCAAAGTCCTCTGTTATATGTCCGTTCCTTCTTTGCAACTTTAGGAATATTTCACGTGACACATCATGTGACAGCGTTAGACCAATAAAATCATCCCTGCATGTGAACCGAGACGGAAGTGCCTTGCTTTGCAAAAATCCGTTCAATTTCTGTGGGAAATTTTCAAACTTCTAGCTATTCTTATCTGTGTTGCAGTCATGGGCTGATTCAATCTTTTCGCGAAGCGTTTAATTATGTAGCTGTAACGAGATTGAAGTAAAGATGGTCTCCACGTGGCTGCATTTTCGTTGCAGAATTCCTGAAGTTTAGGTAAGCTTACCGAATTTATAATCTTTGAATTCACAAGGCCTCTCTGTAGTTTTTCAGTTTTTACGTTTGAGAAGAGAAAAAGCACCTTGTCAGTTTGCCAACAGGCAAGCGATGATCTTTCTACAGTCGAGTAAACTCAGACAGATCGCGTGACTCCAAAGAACATGAGAGAAGAGAAATTGATTTTGCAAATAGACCCTCTCACGGTTTTCGACGCCATCTTGACGAGTAGGCATACTTGTAAGAAATTACAGTGTTTGTATGAGAATCTAATGTAGAATAATTTCCGTAAAACGGCTGTTCTGATAAAAATATAATTGTAAACTAGAGCTACAAAGCAAAGGATTGCGCTAAGAAATTTTGGGGGCGTACCTGTGCTTAAATTTCTCCAGAGGCTTGCTTCAAATTTTCCATATAATTATTTGTCTGTAATTTTCCCGGGACTTTGTTACAGAGAAATGTAAAGAAAATTTGAAAAAGGGGCTCTAGATCCTCTAGCGCATGTAAGGCCTTCAATTTTTTTCAGTAGAATCCTTAGGAGTGAAGGTTTAGTTTACAATTGACATCTTTTTCAGAACAGCCGTTCTACGGAAATTACATTAGATTCTCATACTAATCATAACTATAACAAAATTCTTAAATCTGATTGGCTATCAACTGCCCTGATTTCAGCCTTAATAGGACAGTTAAATAGGACAGTATGCGTCATGCCTAAGTAATTGGACAGTACGCGCCATCACGCGCACGCTTAAATGGCTTTTTTTTTCACTGCTAGCAAAAAAATCTTGGAATTTCTTGTGTTTTGATTAAAAAAAGGAGCCTAATATATCACAAATTTTGTTAAAGTTATGATTAATTGGTAACAGAACTTCGTGTCGTCCAATTCGGTCTGTAATCATACTCGTGATTAAACAAATCGGACTCCCGCTACGCGGTCGTCCGATTTTGTTAATCACTTGTATTATTACAGACCAAATTGGACTCCACTCAGTCCTGTTACCATTACAAACACTGTAATTTCTCACGCGTTTGCGTACTCGTCAAGATGGTGTTGAAAACCGTGACAAGGCTTATAACAGTAAACTCAGCCACAAGTTGCCACACGTTATCCCAGGAGAGGTACTCCGGATTTCAAGTGACGGGGATGATCGAAGGATATTTTTTGGGGGGTTGAAATTTTCGATTGTGATAAAAATTGGGCAAATATTTTTTTGGGTGGCTTGGTGTACATGCAAGTATGGACTTTTCTAGGTATTTAAACAAACTGAAGATTCTTGGTTGTGCCAGTGTATCCCACTGCAAACACAAACATTGAATTCCTAATTTCTTTTTTCGTGCTTTATCATTTACTTCTTTCTGGAAAATGTTAAGGACTATCAGGCTCAAAAATTCGGCATGGAATTTTTTTGATGTTGATTTTTTGTCCAGGGATTTTTTGGGGGGGGTTAGTGTTGGAAGCCCTAGGGATTTTTTTGGTTTTTGATTTTTGCCACCATTTGATCATCCCTGTCGCTTGAAATCCGGAGTACCTCCCTGGGCATGTCATACGGCTTCTAAGTTTTAGTGGGCACCTTGTTTATTACGGCCATTTTAATTTGTCCAGGCAAAATAGCCACACATTAAGGTGGCCCCATCATTTATACTGGAGCATTTAGCTGTGACAAACAGGGTTGTCGCTAAGATTTCAAGTTGCCGGGTATTTGTTGTTAGTAGCCGGGGAAGTCGCTAGCAGTCGTGGACCCCCCCGCTCCCAAAGAAGTTTTTGAAGTGCAACTTCTACCGTTTTCAAAAAGGCATTACTGCCCAAAAAAAGCAATCTTCATCAAGAGCAGAGCTATCATTGGCGGTTTTATGATGATCACGTCTTTATTAAAGAAAACTACAACATTCTGAGACACTAGAATATTAAGTTTTTATTTTACGTAAAGGCTCATTGGGGGGTTTTTTTAGTGGCGCCAAATGGGAGTACATGTAAGCTCTGGGTCTGAAAAAGAACGAAACAACTTACAGAAATCAAAGGTAAAACTAATATTATTACAGATGAATTAACCCACGGAGGAGTGGAAAGAAGACAAGCGGTCGATGAATGTACGAAAAAGCATCACAAACATGAGGCTAATATGGTTTGTTGGAAAATAAAAGTATGATAAGGCGAAAACAAGCATAACGTAGGAAAAATCGCCGGATAAAATATGGCAAAACTAAACTGCACAACTGGTAACATTAGTGGTCTCGAATTTAGGAACGAAACATCACTTAACATACGAAGAAACTGACCTACGGAAAAGTGTTTAAAAGACAGGGCTAATACTTTATAAACGTCGCTGAGATGTCGAAACGAGACTTCTCTTTTATATATAACTTCTTGAAAGTAGAACTGAGAGGATGTGACCTGCCGACAATGATCGAACATTTCCCATTGACCATGCATTATTTTATATACTCGATACCAAAAGGTTAATGTAGATCTGGTCACTGACTAATGACAGTTTATTAAACATAGCAATCAGTCAGTCTTCATCTTCAAAGCCTTCGTCACAATCCTCATCATCATCAACATCAGCATCGGAAATTTAACGCTTGGATGAAGCCTCAACTTCTTCTGCGATGTCAACAGAGATCTACTCAGATCTTTCATCGTGAACAAAGAGTGCAGATTCCTTTGCCGCTTCTTCGACATGTTCAAAAACAAAGCCGACACAATGGCTGAAACTGACATTTCGCGAACGGAGAGTTCTCGCGCGTGTGTACTAGTACCAAATCTAAGTAAGATTTCTTTCTTCGACATTTCTTAGTTTTCGCCCGCGAGTTTTCCAAAATCACTTAAACCTGCTGAAGATGAAACTTGCATTAATTTAATATGATGCATAGTCTTTGTGTGTTTCAAAGGTGTGCTATAATTCAATGCTTATGTCCTTTTTAAAGTAGAATTTTCAGGTGCTCTTTTGGTTTAATTTAACGACGAAAGTAGCTGGGGACCATGCTCTGAGTAGCCGGGGGAAATCCCCAGCCCCCGGCCCTTAGTGACAACCCTGGACAAATTTTCTGTCAACTTTTTCCTTTTTAACGTGATGGCTGTGAAACTTTGCAAAGAACAACAAATATCAATCGGCAATAGTACAAAATATTCCAATTTCATTGATGGAAAATATTTCTTGAGAAATTAGCACTTAAAAGGACCCTACTGTTCAAAGAAAATCGCATCTAGTAACAAATTTTTTTGATATTTTTTACCTAAATTTCTGGTATTGACTTTTATTGATACAATAAATATGCTGGAGAAATTACAGAAAAATAGTTGGAGCAAGAAGTCCGTAACTAAAATTCGCTCAAAATTCAGCTGTGGAATTGTTTTGGAATGTGTGGTTCCAGAAAATATCCAGACCCCCACCATGGAGGGAATTGGAAATTCCAGAGGGGAGGGGGGGTCAGAGCGCCAGGAAATTCCAGAAGGGAGGGCTGTTGGACCATAAAATCACTTTCCAGGGGGTCAATATCATTTCGTTTTCGACCTGAGTTGAACATTGCTTCTTACCGACCTGGTAGATCATTTTTAGGAGATAAATAACTTGAAATGTATCACTTAAGATTGTTGCTTTGATTTTAACCAGGTTTCCTTTCTTCCAAAAGCATTTTGGATGTAATTTCAAAGGAATTAGACCGACTACAACTCGTTTTATCGCTATTTTATCGCATGCTCGTGTATTCGGCCGCCATTACTCGTTACCAGTCTCCTTCAAAATATCAACGCATGCAACACATAACGTTGTGTCAGTCGATCAATCAGTAGAGTTGCAATTTTGCCTCACGAAGCACAAGCTATACATTGTAACCATTTTAAAATGTAGAGTTTTTATTCTCCTTTTCGTTTTCCCTTAATTTTGTGGTTGAAGGTGTGGCATGTTTATGATCGAATTCTCGCTGAAATGGTGTCGATTTCACCAAACATTTATATGGCCATCGGGCATCATGTCACATCAGTCGATCGAAAAACAGTAAAGTGAACTTGGTTTCCCTTCAAGATGCAGGGGGTATTCATTGTTATCATTTCAGAATTCAGAGTTTTTATTCTTCTCTTTGTTTTGCATTAATTTGGTGGTGGTAAGTTTGACTTGTTCTGCATTCCCGCACGAAATGGCGTTAATTCTATCAACATTACGCCCATAAAGACGAATAACAAATCGTAAGCTTGTCCTGATTAAGGTAAATTCAAATATAACGGACTTATTAACTTTCTCGGTTTCATTTAAAGTAAGAGATGTACAAAAATTGCGGATCAGGTTACTTTGTGGTGGTGTGGTGTGTTTTAATGTTGCGAGATCACTCAAATAAATGGAAACAGAAGGATACAAGCTTCTGATGGAAACCGTTGCGTACTAACCATAAATGGCCTCATTCTTCTAATTTAATTGTCTTTCTTCGTGAAAATGAACTTTTCCAGAGGGGTTGGGGGGTCTTTGTCACACTTGTGGAAATTCCGAGGGGGTGGGGGGTCATCTGATCCCTGCAAAAATGGAAAATCCAGGGAGGTGGGGGGGTCCTAAGTAAAATTCTCTCCGTGGTGGGGGTCTGGATATTTTCTGGAACTACACAATTTCAAAAATAAATTACTATCATGTAGAAGGAGCCACCAGTTTGAATCGTCGCAACTCTATTTGCAACGTGTGATATTTCCGACTTCCAATTTAGGTTTTCATTCAAAATTACGCCTAGAAAATTTGTCTCCTTTACTTTAACAATATTTTGATTATCTATACTTATTTGAATATTACAAATTGAATGCTTTTATCTTGGTTTAAAGACCATAAATTTAGTCTTTTTAAGATTTAGAGAAAGCTTGTTTGCTTTAAACCAGATTGACATCTCCAAGTTTAACATATCTGAAAGATACTTCAGATCTTTATGTGGCATGAATACATTGGTATCGTCAGCAAACAATATCAGATCTAATAGATTAGAAGCATTGTTGATGTCGTTAATGTACAGTAAGAAAAATAGAGGTTCGAGGATAGAACCCTGAGGGACCGCACACGAGATTTCATTTCTTAATGAATGGCGGCCATTATATTCAACATATTGCTTTCTGTTTGAAAAGTAACTTCTTATCCAGTCCAGCGCTAAGCCACGAATACCGTAATGTTAGAGTTTTAAAAAGGATGGCATGATTTACAGTGTTGAAGGCTTTTGAGAGGTTAAGAAAAATACCTATGAAAAATTTACCTCAGTCAAAGACCATGGAGATGTTATCATGCAAGTCAATTAGCATGAGTGCTGTGGAATGATTTTTCCTGAAGCCGTATTGGTTACTACAGAGGATGTTGAAATTCATCAGATATTGCATTAAACGATTGTAGATAACTCTTTCAAAGAATTTTGAAGCTCAGATAAAACTGTCCAGCACCGTTGTTTATGACCAGACAATGAGAATGAGCGGCAGCTCTGCGAGGAATTCACACCTCAGTCAGGGGGGACAAATGACAATGGTGCCCCTGTATGTATGGCATGTTTTACTGCAGGGCAAAACACGATAATCAAGAAAAAACTGCCCATTCATTGAAGGAAGGAGTGACAAAAATTTCAGAGTTGTAAATTTATTCACAGGCAGTATTTTTACAATAATTTTATTTTGCACTGTGATGTAATTCAGTTCACAGGCATGGGCATCATTGTCGTTCATCCCCCCTGGGTAAGGTGCAAATTCTTTGCAGAACTGCCACTCGTGCTCATTTTGTAGTCATAAACAAAGATGCTGGATAGTTCTATCTGAGCTCTGATACGAGGTAGCATCCAATCTCAATACCTTTTTCCTGAGTTGGAAGCAACGAACAGAATCAAAATGTGTGCAGCAGGAGTTTGATCCAAAACTGCCAAGGGATATTTTAAAAATGTCGAGGAACAAGTTATTCTACTTCAGAGGAAAGTTTGGAGCAATTTATAGTGCTTCTAAAACTAAAAAGTACCTTTTAAAGAATAGCACGATAGGCAATTGGCTTTTCTTTTAAGAATAAGCAAACACTGAATTTACTTGTCCCGAAAATTCAAAGTGTCTCCTTCTACCTGATAGTAATTTATTTTTGAAATTCCAAAACAATTTCACAGCTGAATTTTGAGTGTCTTTTAGTTATGGACTTCTGCTCTAATGATTTTTCTGAAATTCCTCTGGCATATTTATTATATCAATAAAAGCTGATACCAGAAATTTCAGTAAAAAGTATCAGAAAAATTTTTAACCAGATGCCATTTTCTTTGAACAGTAGGGTCCTTTTAATTGCTAATTTAGCAAAATATATTTACCATCAATGAAATCGGAATATTTCGTACTATTGCAGAATGATATCTGTTGTTCTTTGCAAAGTTTCTCAGCCATCGCATCAAAAACGAAAGAGTTATGACGAAAACTTCGTCACAGCTAAATGCGCCTGTATTAATGACAGAGCCACCTTAACTGGGAGAGATTTAGAATCACTTTCTGCAAATGACAGACGTCAGACTCAGGTTGTAAATGTCTCAAATCAGGAAATAAGCAGATAAAAGCAAAGTAATTGCGAGCGACAAGAGGAGCCCACAATCCTAATCTCCAGGTTGTTATTACGCATGCGTCACATGGATGTAGCCAGCATCCGTTTGGACTTCCCACTAAGAATGTATGGAATGCACAGGACGCACTTTAATCACACGCATTTGGACATTCTACCACTCGTAATCTGATCACGCATGTGTTGACACTCTGTCGTGAAACTTATGCAAAGCACAGCGCTATATAGCAAAAGCACTTTGACCTTCAATTGTTGTCACCCGGCACTCCATAACCTTTGGTTATTACTAGTTGTTTAGGACATGAAACTGATGTGAAACTTCTTTTTTTGTGGAGAACAATAAACAGTAAACAACAAGAAACTGAGAAACTTGGTCATGTGTTCAAATTGACGCTTGGCAAATACAGTAAACATTATTCTATATCTCTCTATTTCTCAAAAAGGCTATGTTAATGCATCCATTGGCTCCATTATAAAATTCCAACATGAACACATTTGGGTGATTTTCCAGCTCATTCAAGGACTCACAGGATTCATTGAAAAATAATGAACAAACAAAGTTATAAACAAAGGAACCAGCTAACCCTAAACCATAAGGGCTGTGGTATTTATATGCTGTAGGGATCCAAATGAAATGAGAGTATGTATAAAGAGTTGGAACATTACTACTGTAAAATTATTCATCTGCAAATATTTCACCTCATTATTATGGCTAGTGATGGGCAATGTGCATTTCAAAGGATGGTTATCAGCTTTATTAGAGCTCGCGTAGACAACTTTTGCACCTGATTTTCTGTAGGGGAAGAAATATTTAAAATCACATCTGAATGAGCACAAGTTAGTCACATAAACAGGCCTAAAAGAAAGGCATATTCTGCCCCAGAAAATTTTGTAATTGCAAAGTGCAATTTTCAGCGTTCTGGGGACTAAATTTGAGGTCAAAAGAGCGTGTTCAGTGTGCAGAGAGAGTAGTGTCCGATAGCCCCGGGCTAGTGGATTTTGCTATCGGGCTTCCGAATTCTCTTTTTAACTACCCCAACAGGCAAGTGATGTTTTTTGAGGAATTCAAATAACAGAAGAACTGTGATATCAACTCTGCTTATCACAAAGCTTTTGGAGCTAGTTGAAATGACGTCTGGGCTAGTAAATGCTAGCTTCAGCTTGCCCGAATGACAAGTGTAAAAATGATTTTCTTTGCACCCTGGTGCTTTTCATTTAAGAAATTGTAGCTTTCAGTAATTGTCAGTCACAGTCAATTCCTGCAAGGAGTGAAACACATCATAATTACATTTTCATGCAGATTTTATAATATGTTTTTTGTTTACAACATTATTGAAACTAGTTGCTTCTTCGTTCTAGAAAAAAAACATAAGCGACCCATTTTGTCGGCCGTTGGTGCTTATTGAAACCCCTGGGTCCCCCCTCTCTTTTAAGACCCCCCCCCCCCATCTCCTCAACCTTATTATTCTTCATTAATAAATGATAGACTGTATAAATCAATCACAACTATAAAACTTCATTTGGACTGATCCAGCATGGTTTATTCTTGTGTTGGAAGTGCGGATTTATTTTTTATGCTTTGCTGCATCAGCTCCAACTTGCATTGTTGTACTTAAGCTTTTCCACTTTGATTTCTATTTCTTTATGGAGAGCTGATTAATGACCATCTTGGATAAATATTGAATAAGCCCATCCCCACTTAAATGTGTTTGCAATAAATAAGCCCCCTGGGGATTAATTGATTTACGGTAAACATTATTCATTATTAGGGACTTGTCAGAAATTAGCAGGGGGGGGGTGGGAATTTTAAGTTTGGGTTCGGAAATGAGGTGACCCATCCCTACAATGGGAGTGAAATTTGCTAATCCTCCCCTAATCCTGCCCAAGAGCGGTGCTTGTTTAATATTATGGCCTAGGGTGGGCAACTTTTTGGGGGATCAGGCTGCCAGGGTGTCACATATACAAATGAAATACATATACAAAATGTTGATTTTTTTTCCTTAATCCTGGAGATAGTCACATTTGCAACTAGCCCACCAATAAAATGCATTTGAAATAACCCCTGGGGGGTTAGTAGATTTATGGTAAACATTGATTCAATAGGAAAAACTGTTTGAATGCAGACGTCTATGCAACGCATAAATAAAACTGACGGGTTCCTCTTGCCAGATCTCTAATTAAAGAGATGCTGTAGCCAGACGTCACTTGATGCGTGAAATGAAACAAAACTGAATGCAAGACTGGCACTATATTATAGGCCTATAATAAATCAGCCAGCCTTGCATTCAGTTTTGTTAATTCAATATAATGCCTTTCACTGAGTGTTTACAACAATGGTTGGTACAATCAAGTGTACCATAGGCCCATTACACACTTTAAACTTTTGTTTTGGTTTGCATGTTTATTCTCTCATTATTATCATCATTGAAGGGGATGCTTACAGTGTATTCAAGAAAAGCGCTTGTTTGTTATTATGGCCCATGAGGTGGGCACCTTTTTGGGGAGGCCACTGAGGTGTTACAAATAGAAATGATTGTTTTTTCTTTTCTTAATCCTGGAGATGGTCAAAATTGCAAAGCCCACCAATCAAATGCCCTGCTACAGTACATTTATGTCTTGGCTGGGCATAGGGGATACCTACATTGACTTGTGTACGACTTGCAGTACCATCAGCCAGGCAGCACAACAGCGCCAGTTCTAAAGCAATAATAATTTATTATTATATGTAACTGGAAGAACTGTTCTTTGTCTTGATTCATTGCCCTTTATTTCATTATTAAGGTTACTGCTACCAATCAGTTCAAATTTCAAGATGTGTGGGTTTCAGAGGTCAAGGATTCATCTACCAAGCTTTGGTAAGGCTTTTTTATATTATTCATTTGTTGTTATCAGAATTTCATAACTACATGTTTATAATAAAATCCCCCCTGCGGGTAGGGGAGGAGACACTGAAGGGAAGTACTGCCAAGGCCTTAAACCTTGATAATCCTATTAATTAATACAAAAACAGTTCATTCCTGCCTGCCCAACCCCATGGGGGTACACCTTTACATGTACACTTGAGTATCATCCAGACAGTGGGGTCTAGGACTCCCCCCCTTCTGCCATTATATTCCATGGATAATACTGTATTTATCCCAGGGGTATACTGACTGAAGAAATACTCTTCTCAAACTCATTAGTAATTCATAGAGAAAATTCAAAGGAAATTAATGTTTAACGAGTGTTTGGATATCGGATGAAAAACTGCTCATTTTTGCATCCTTAATTTCTCCTTCAAAAATGATTTTGTTTGAGAACAAATATCAAACATTCGACACAGTGTTTCATCACCAGACCAGATGAAACACCTCGAAGTTCGTCAAAAATACTCCGCTACATGTCGTATTTTCAACCCTCTTCTCGGTGTTTCATCTGGTGATGAAACACTGCATCTCATGTTTGTTATATTACACGAAAAATAGCGTTAATGCAAAAGATGTTAGTAAAGTTTGAGTCCAGGGGTGCCTTTTTATTCAACCCAAATTCCGGAAACTTTGGTTAGAAAACAAATGGAACAGACCATTTTGGTTCGGTTTGGCCAGAATATTTGACAACACCTTTGAAGGTGGTCCACTTTGGACTGTCCCACTGGTATGCCCGAAATGACCCTTTCCATTTGACATAATTGTTTTCCCTGCTACTGCTCATCTGTACCCTGCTTACAAGTACCTACCCAAACACACAGTGGCTTGGGTTTGCAGGGTTCTATCTAGGATTTATCGTTTGGGGGAGAAGTCCAGAGTGGCCGAAGGCCACGAGCTTCCTAGGGGGGTCCGGGTGCATGCTCCCCCGGAAATATTTTGAAATGAATATGCGTTGAGATGCAATCTGGTGCATTTTGAGACCCAATTTTTGAGAAATGTTACAGTGGTATTTATTTTATTTTTTAGTTGTAATCACGTTCTGACAATGTTACACTTAGCTCTGATATTTTTTTGGGGGAAGCTTCTACCCCTCAAATACCCTAGATAGAACCCTGGTTTGAAGTCTGTACAACTGGAATGTAGTTAGTGTGCCATTGGGTGTGTGGAATTTCCAAAATTTCAAACAATAATTTTTGTTGAATGGAACGCACCATAAAGCTAGATGTGGTTGGTGTTCATCTGCTGTGTCTTGGGTTGACAAGAGGTTTTAATAATTAAATAATTGGAAAAACATACCGTTAAAAGCATTATACTGTGTCTTTGGAGTACAAGGTTACACCCAAAGTATGACGTATCCAGGGCTGTTATTAAGATCAAGGTGTGGGCCTGGGATTTCCCCTGGCTACCCTAAACATTGCGTCTCGCTACTTTTGTAGGAAAATGGATTGAAGAAAAATAGAAGCAAAAGAAAGCTCCAGCTGTTTGATTCCCTGCCTACTTGTTGTTGTACCCAGCAACTTGAAATCTTGGTGACAGCCCTGTTTATCACTACATTTTTTTATCTTTATTATATAATAAAAACACTAATGAATTAATTAATTAAACACCAATGAAATACCAGGTGAGCTTTTCATGACTAACTTGTTATTTTCACATACACATAGAAAGATCAGCATTGTTATCATTACATAAGAAATCGCACCTTGTACGGTGGTGCCTCTGACAGCAGTGCCTTTGTCAAAGTAATTTTGATGCAACTTCAAAATGGCAGACGATTTACCTAACTGGGAATTATTTAAATATTATTGGATGTTGACATGCTTACTGCTCAACCAGAAAACTTCTCTCAGAGGAATCTTATCAAGCGTTGACTGTTTGTCTTACAAGGTGTGAATATGGGAAAAGGCTATTCATTGATCCGGAATTTCTGAGATTAAGACACACATTGAAAGCAAAGTAAAAAGAACTGAAAAAACAAGGTGCTCACTTGTGAAATATTTTTTCAACACTCAAAGAGAAATTTTGTATCTCCGCACTGCCATGTAATAATAATTATGCTCTATATATCTTATACCTCATATGGCTTGTATTTTTGGGGGGTTTTAATTTTTGTGGTTTCTTTCCACTGTACATAAACAGTTGCAACCTAAGAACACATCCTGCAAAATGACTTCCACAACTCTAATAACTTAGAAAGACAACTTACATGGAGTTTTAAATTGTGTTGTAGGTAAAAATTCAGGTTAATCCTGTATTCAACCTTCTTTGATTCAGAATTTCCTCTGTTTTTTAGCCTTTATCTTTCATAGGAGACAAAAAATAAATTTTGGTTTAACCTGAGAACAAATTTTACGTACATTGTTTTCAGTGTTGGCCTCGCTCTCTATGAGTTCTATGTAGCTAAAGTGGATAGAGTGCTCACCCGGTGTATTCAAATACTGTCGGGGTCTCAGATTTTTTTTTGTCCCACGCTCGTGACGTGCTGATCATTTCATTTTCACAGTGTTTTCACATATTGGTTTGCCTATATTTGTGACTCAATTTATAAAGGAATGTTTGAATGGTTAAGAAATAAATTCCCACATGGGCAAACCAAGTTGACCGATCCCAAAAAATAATTTTTTCCTGCAAAATACAAAAAATCACCTATCTGTAAAATCAGACTCTCACAAAAATAAAGTGTGAAATGGTACTGATGACAACATTGCACCATTATTAAAGGTACCTTCTTTTTCTGCTCCTATTGTAGTGTTCATTGCAAAGTTTGAGTCCAGGGGTGCCTTTTTATTCAACCCAAATTCCAGAAATTTTGGTTAGAAAGCAAATGGAACCGACCATTTTTGTTCAATTTGGCCAGAATATTTGATAACACCTTTCAAGGTGGTCCACTCTGGGCTGTCCTATTGGTATGACTGAAATTACCCTTTCCATTTGACATAATTATTGTTGTCCCTGCTCCTACTCATCTGTATCCTTCTTACAAGCACCTACCCAAACACACACTGGCTTGAGTCAGGTCTGTACAACTGGAATGTATTGTACCATTGAGTGTGTGGAATTTCCAAAATTTCAAACAAGAATTTTTGTTGAACGGAACGTACCATAAAGCTAGATGTGGTTGGCCTTCATCTGCTGTGTCTTGGGTTGACAAGAGATTTTAATAAAAATAATTTGAAAAACGTACCGTTAAAAGCATTATACTGTGTCTTTGTAATACAAGGTTACACCCAAAGTACAACGTACATATCCAGGGCTGTCATTAAGAGGCGTGGACCGGAGATTTCCCCTGGCTACCCTAAACATTCACATACACATGAAAAGATCAGCATTGTTATCGTTACATGAGAAATCACACCTTGTGCAGCGGTGTCTCTGACAGCAGTACCTTTGTCAAAGTAATTTTGATGCAACTTCAAAATGGTGGACGATTTACCTAACTGGAATCTAAATATTATTGGATGTTGACGAGCTTACTGCTCAACCAGAAAACAAAAATACAAAGAAAAAGATGATGTATGACCTGAACATTGTTCTAAAATTTCTTCGCGAGGTTTCGGAAAGAAGAGAGAAAATTAGAGAATATTCCACCAGAGGAGGTGAATATATAGCTTAGTGAATTCATTATTGCTGCTAGAATGAAGAAAGGAGAACAATATGAGCCGTCTTCTCTCAGAGGAATCTTGTCAAGTGTTTACTGTTATCTTACAAGGCACGAATTTGGGAAAAGGCTATTCATTGATCCTGAATTTATGAGATTGAGAGACACATTGAAAGCAAAGCAAAAAGAACTGAAGAAACAAGGCGCTCAATGACACTTGTGAAATATTTTTTCAACACTCAAAGAGAAATTTTGTATACATAATATGCTCTACAACGTATCGAGCACTCTACTACGGAAAAATCGAAACACAGACTTCCTAATATGCTCTATATACATGTATCTTATACCTTATGGCTTGTATTTTGGGGGGTTTTAATTTTAGTAGTTTCTTTCCACCGTACATTTACAGTCGCAACCTTAGTACACATCCTGCAAAATGACTTCCACAACTCTAATAACTCATAAAGACAACATACAGTTTTTAATTTTGTTGTAGGTAAAAATTTAGGTTAATCCTGTATTCAACCGTCTTTGATTCGAAATTTCCTTTGTTTTTTAGCCCTCATATTTCATAGGAGACAAAAACGAAATTTTGGTTTAACCTGAGAACAGATTTTACCTACATTGCTTTCACATGTTGGTTTGCCTATATTTGTGACTCAATTTATAAAGGAATAGTTGAATGCAGTTGTTAAGAAATAAATTCCCAAGCAGAAACCAGGTTGTGGACCAATCCAAAAAATATAATTTGTTCCTGCAAAAACTCCCACAAAAATAAAATGTGAAAATAGTACTGACGACAACATTGCACCCTTATTAAGTGTACTTTCTTTTCTTGTTCCTATTGTAGTGTTCATGTCTGCAGTTTTAAAGGATTTTTAGGATTCCTGTGATGTCCAGGGTGAGGGTAAGTCGGAAAATTGATCATCTGTTAGTTGTAGTATTGGTCTAGTTAAGGTTGATTGTTAATTCTTGGTATTTATATCTTCATTCTCTAGTTGTAAGCTTTGAGGAGTTTGAGCTGTGGCTCTAAATTTTGGTGGAGGGATGTTATTCGTGTCAGACCCGAATCAGGGAGGTCTGATTTGAGCCCTCTGTGTTGTCACTTGATGGATTTTCTTAGACAAGAAACTATTTCTTATGTTACTTCTCCCTCACGGGTGTTTAATTTTGTATTTAAAAGCAGCATACCGCTGGGAGCAATAATGAAAATTAATGGTGGCCTAGCATTTCATTGAGTAGGGATGGAGGGATGGTGGGCTAAGTCAGGGTCCGATATTAACTTTTTAACATGGGCACCAACTGGGGAGCAAGCATAAATTTTTTGTCGGCAGAGGGCAAATTGTGGTCACCAAAAATTTTCCCTCCCTTTTTTCAAATAAATGTTTAAACACGAATAAAAAATGCATGGTATGGACATTTTTGTGTTCAAAAATTGTACTACTTCCGCTCCAAATACCAGAAAACGACCGTAAATGTACGTGTACAAGTGAAGTCTTATTATTTATTTTTTTCACAAATTACTTTTTGGAGATATAAAGCTATCTGACCTAGAACCTAGGAACAGAAAGCTATCTACCCATGACTGCACTCATCATATCAAAACTGACTGTTTTCTTCCGATAACTACCACGACACGAAACATAAACACAAGTCACGAGTCAAGCCGCCATGTTGCTCGTACCAGTGCCACAAGTGTGCCACATTACTCGTAGCATATGGGTAAAGTATAATTCCACATACATAACTTACTTACAGTAGTTCAGCTGAAAACAACATGGCGGCTTGGAAATGTTCAACTTGTATTGATCGTAGCTGTTGTGGAGGCATATTTACCGGAAGATTCGTTTCACTTTTAATTAGAAAATATAGCAGGACAAAAGACACCTGTTGGCAAAATAGCTTCGAGGTTTCAAATCTTAATCATTTTCTCCGGACGTGAAAGTCTACGATAACAACCAGCCCTACAAGTCGCCAGCTGGCGACCAGCTATGAAATTCTGGTCGCCAGAACTGAATTTTTAGTCGCATGGGCGACCAGGAAGGCGCAATTTCGGACCCTGTTTAAAGTTCTTGATGATGCTTTGTGCTGCTCAAACCAAGATACCGTTTAGTTAAGTTTAGTTATGTGGGGCTCATTGGCTTGTTTTGACCCTTCAAGCCCCAAGAGTGAGTAAAGTCAATTTTCTCCTATATTTGTTCAACGCATCAACAAGAGAGAAGGTTATGAGAATAATCAAAATGATCACTCAAAGGAAAATGCTTTATATCTTTTATAAACAAATTCTCTCTACTAATTCTTTAACAAGGTATGTGGAGGTCAGTCTGGAGACTTTGTATTTGCATTTTGTTGTTTTAAGGGTTATTAAAATAATCTGGGATATTGAGTTGGTGCACTAAGCTTTATGATCCCTACCTCAATACAAAGAGAGTTTTAGCAACAATGACAGCAGTGGCAACAAAAAACGTTACTATTAAAATGAATTTACCTTTTTAAACTTTGTTGAAAGTTTTCCACGACTGCACTTATATTGTCAAATTAATGTGAATGAACTTCCTTGGAGTGAAATTCTTCTTCATCTACATGTAAACTTCGCGTTAGAAACTTTTCACGTCATATTTGTGCAATAATAGCAAAGAGTGTACCATAAAGTGTGCTGCATGTGCAGAGTTGGTTTTTTTTGCTCATTAAATCTATTACTTTTGTGATGTTCCTGTTGCTGGTACTGTCATTGTTGCCAAACATAGTTACGGTGTGACCGGGAAAACCACGAACACCTGAAATATTTCTGGAATGTTACTGTCGTCCAAGAAAAAAGCCAATCAGGTGTGAGAAAACTGAACCACAAGCAAGATCGTTAATTAGTTTGTGATTTTGTGGCCAGTTCACGTGTCTTGATCTTTGCTGTGATTGGTCATAACCATAGTTGGTCATAACACAATAAACATTCCTGAGATATTTCAAGTGTTCACGGTTTTCCCGGCCACACTGTAACATGCTCCTCACTTCTTAGTGTGGTACTGTGATTTTGAGACAGTCTTAGTAATGTGCAGCATATTTAACTTTTTACTTTGCAAGTTGTCTCTGTCACCTCTCCCTCCAAATTATAGTGATATTCCCATGATAGTTTAAACATGTTATTGTCCTCAAGTTAAAGTAGAAAGTGAAGTTGATTTGTAACAGTTTTGAACTGTCACCGTTTTCAAGAAGACGTTACTCTATTATTCGCCGAAGGCGAAGTTAATATTGTGGAATAATCAACAATTAAATCAATCAATTATTCAACAATATTAACTGAGCCTGAGGTGAATAATTGTTTTAGTATAAACACACGAAGTGATGTCAACAGAATCAGAAAGGAAACCATGAAAAAAAAAAAACGATTAGTTTGATTCAGGGGTGAATTCATGCGTGAGCATGTAGCCGTAAACAGCAGATGCACAATTATACAGTTGGATCTTTACAGTATTTCAAACATGGCAAATCATAGTTTTATTTTTGTTGTAAGCTTTAGCATCAGTGATTGAAAAGAAAACGTTGAAAGTTTAAATAACTCCTCTTTCTGAGAAGAAACACAGAGCTTTATTTTCTTCTGTCAACTCTCTGTCAATGAGACAATTTTTTTGTCGCTTCTTGCAAATGCTGTCAACAGCGGTTACGATCGAGGTGAACGTTGTTTATCTGCAGTGCATTGTTCCTTACCATGTTAACTTACTGGCACGTACAGTTTTTGAAAACATTTACTTTCCTTTTTCTCTCCATAAATTAACTTCTATTTCCAGGCAAAATTGGTCTTGCGAGGAAATCCCAAGTTCACAAAAAAGTGACAAAGCGCCTCGTTTTCCTCTGTAGTGATCAACAAAAACGTTGCTTCCAGCGTATGAAAGTCAACTACAGTAAATCATTTCGCAATAAAATCACGCTGTTTAAACACCATGAGGTCTTTTCTTACCTTCAAAATCATCAACCCTGGGATATTCTTGTATTTTAAAGAAGTTCTTACTCTGAAACTTGGCAAAACACCCAGTTCACGACAGCGATTCTGTTTTGCTTTATATTCACACTTTGAATATTTAACAATTATTCCTCGAGCCTGACTGGGCTCTGAGTCAGTAGCCCATAAGCCGAAGGCGGAAGGCCGAATGGGTTATTGACTCAGAGGCCATGAGGGCGAGAGGAATTATTGTTTTAGTAAAATCCAACTAGTTGGTCAAAAAAATCGAGACAAAACAACTTCGGCTTGCAAAACGCGATTCAGCTGCCATTGTTTTGGTTTTCAAAGCCAGCGCTTTTCGCATTTCGGTTATGAACTTACAGTGTAGTTAAAAGGACTTTTATTAAACCTTTTAGTAAATTCATGCTACTCTCCTTTTAGGATTTGTCATCCTTTCCTAGCACAGCCTCTACATCACGGGAAGACCATGAAATCGATTCAGGATCCACTTCCTCCAGGAAATTGAGAGTTACTCTGTTAAGCAGTGAATGGAGATCAACAAAAGGAGGCTTGTCAACCATCAACCGAGAGCTGGCCATTCAGTTGGCAAAACACCCCAGCATGGAGGTCAGTGTTTATCTCCCTCAGTGTAGTGAAGAGGATAAACAAGTTGCTAGAGATCACAATGTCTCCCTCATTAAAGCAAGAGAAATGCCAGGTTTAGAGCCAAATTTCTGGTTGTCTTGTTTGCCGGAAGACCATGCTGTGGACTGTGTGATAGGGCATGGGGCCGTTCTTGGTCGGCAGGTGCAAATCATCAAGCGAACTCATCCTTACTGCAAGTGGATTCAGGTCGTTCATACCGCTCCAGAAGAACTTGGAATGTACAAAGACTATGAAGAGCACATTTCCAGAGGTGAGGAGAAACACCAGGTTGAAGTTGAACTCTGTAAATTGGCTGATCAAGTTGTAGCAGTTGGACCCAAGCTGGCTGAAGTATTTTCAGGTTATCTTCGTCCTTGTGGGAAAGATCAAGATGTTCTCAATTTCACCCCAGGAATTTTCTCGGAGTTTGCAGATGTAAACCAAGCCACTGAAGAAAGAAAGGCATTCAATGTTTTGGTCTTTGGACGTGGCGACAATGAAGATTTCAAGCTGAAGGGATATGACATCGCTGCCCAAGCCATTGCTGAGTTGAAAGACATGACCTACAAACTTGTGTTTGTTGGAGCAACACGGGGAGAAGAAGAGAAAGTAGCAAAAAAGTTAGTCGAGCAAGGCATTGATCCTAGTCAACTTAAAGTGCGTCGCTTTAATGAAAGTAGAGAGAAGCTAGCTGATCTATTTTGTGAAGTAGATCTTGCTGTAATGCCATCACGAACTGAGGGATTTGGTCTTGCTGCGCTAGAGGCTTTATCTGCTGGTCTGCCTGTGCTAGTCAGTGGGAACTCTGGTTTTGCAGAAGCTTTAAAGAAAGTTCCACATGGTTCAAGCTGTGTTGTCGAATCAGAAGATCCTAAAGACTGGGCCAAAGCAATCAGAGCTGTCCGTCACAAAGACAGGGAAATGCGACTTGGGGAGTTTGACGTTGTGCGTGGAGCATATGCAAAAAAGTACAGCTGGAAGGAACAGTGTGATAAACTTGTTGAAAGGATGAAAGTGATCTCTTCAGAAGGTCAGTTGAAATTAGTACTGTTGTATTGCGTCTTCTGTTGCATATGTATTTTGATTTAAAATGAGCCCCCAAATAAAGCAAACTCACATCGCTCTTTACCACTGGCGATATTTTGCGGGAAAGAATGATGAGAGGCGGCTTTATTTGCAGGCTAAATGTACGTGTAATACTTAATGGTTATGATTTATTGCATTCATCCACTAAAATGATGTGGTGCACTCATTAAACGTGAACGCTCCTTTACATGTAGATGTTGAACGTATCACAAACCACTGCACCTGTTTTGGCAGAAATAGCCGTATTATTAGAATGATGACTAAACAAGAATATTTCAGTAGAGGTCGACTGGAGGTAAAACGCTTTCTGAAACATTGATAGAAAGTTAAGGTCCACTGTGCATGTGAATTCCCTAGTTGAAAACAAAAAACATGTTTTGTAGCATAACAGGTGTCATACTGCTACTGGCAAACGTGATTAAATCAACACGAAACTGATTTCATTTCAGACTTTTCAAAGAGACTTCAGCCTTTGGACAAAGGTAAAAAGCCCTTATCCCCAGTTGTTACCCTAGCTTCAAAACAACCGAGTCTGTGGAGATATGCAGGTAAACCATGTGTTGCTGCAGTGTATCATTTGTTAGAGTATTCAGTCTATTTGAGGTATAGTGCTGTGCTGTGTTGATTTCTATCATTTCGTTTGGGTATGAGAGGGCTTGTACAACTGTTATACATAAAATCGGGCTTCATTATTCCGGTCGTGGGGCTCTTTTATCACTACTGCTATGTACGGCAGCATAGCAGTACTATGGATATTAATGACATCTGGGATTTTATTTTTTTACCGAAAGTTGCTTAAAGGGACTGAGCTAACAGTAAACTTGCCAAGAGCTAAAACTAAACAAAACAAAGGCTACTTTCACATAGCCTGTAAGGAGAGGGGGCGCTGTACACAGGCTACTTTCACAGGGCATCAGACAGACCGGCTGAAAAATTTGAGCGGAATCTTCGTTTATACGGAGCCGTTCGATATTAATTTTTTTCTGTCTGTTCATACGGAACTGACGAATCAGGTTGCAGTTTAACTGTTGTCAGCGGTTTTTCCATCTGCTCATGCGCAGACGGCGCTTCTTGAGCATCCGAAATACCGTCTCCCAACTGAGTAACCACGCATCCATGCAACAGCGCGCCTTTACCATGTAAAACATTTAGCCGGAAATAGTGTTCACACCGCGCAGGTGAGATTTTCGACTGTGCCGACAAAAAATGTGACCTCGATTTTGACGTGGAAGTTTTTGAACGGCTAGCCGTCTAAATTTTTCTTTGGTTAAGGTGGTGATGTGTGAGTCTGTTTTTCGAAGGATAATATCCTGGGCTGGGTTGTTCAAAGCAGGGTTAAGATAAACCAGGGTTAGTGCAAAATTTCAATTCAGATATGAAAGTCAGTTTTATTTTTTTTCTCCACAATTTGATGATTTGATGCTCTAAAAAGAAGAGAGAAAATTATCCTGAAAAATGCTTTTCAACAAAAGAAAAAGAAACCTGGGTTAAAATTTAACCCTGGGTTAGCGCTAACCGGCTTTCGAACAAGTGGGCCCAGGACTTTCTTCGTCGTCAGCTTTAGTAAAATATAGTAAGCAACTCTAATAAGCTGAATTGTCCAGCGGGCCTGCGAAGGTTTATGAACTTTATTTATACTCAATTCAAGAGTTCACGTCAAACAATCCTTTTTTTAGGTGGCAGTAAGGATGAGCAGGATTTATCTTTAAAAACCACTGCGGTTTGTTCAGTTTACGAGAAACCTATACTTGTCAAGAAACCTCTTCATAAAGGTACGTTTAATCTTAGAAACATGAGCAATATACTTGCGAGTGCAAAACGTTTTTGAATGTATGCTTTTATGAAACAATTATTGTTTCCAACATACTCTTCATTCACCCGGACGGTATTGCTCAACCTACTTATTGAAATGCACTGTAATTTGTACAATGAACTCCTGAAAAAGTTCTTTTATTTTACGCTTCCTTCTTTTTCCAATTTCTCTGTCTTATCATGTGAGTTGTGATCAAGAGATCATAACATATCCATTTGAAGTACAGTGAATGTCAGGAAAACATTAACAGATTGTTCGGTTTTTTGCTCCCGACAGATACAGAAAACTCAAGTGTTCTGAAAATGCTCAGAGCTGAATATGAGAGACGGGCAAAGTTGAAGCCACTTTCTTGGTTAAACACTATGCAATTGTCACTGAAAAACGTCTACACAAGACTGAAAATTATCTCAAGAAGAAAAGCAGACTTCCAGGTTCAAAATGACAAGTTGGGCATGTACGACATCTTCCAGGCCCTTGGCGAAAGTGAGGATGTCAAAATGACGTTAGCAGAGGGAAGTCCAGGAACCGGTAAAACTACGTTTTGCGTCAAACTTGCCTATGATTGGGCACGTGGAGAAATGCCAACTAATTGTTCCTTTCCTAAATTCGAATTTGTACTGCTCCTTAAATGTCGAGACATAAACGGAGATCTAATGGAAGCTATCAAGGAACAGCTTTTGCCGGAAGATATCAAGGAGGAGACCTGGACAAAGCTGTCTGACTTCATTACGAATATTGATAACCAAGAGAGAATTTTAATTATTCTGGATGGTCTGGATGAGCTTCCTGAAAAGTCACGACCATATGTTCATAAACTTCTCAACAGAAAAATCTTACCTTTTTGTTATGTCATTGCTACATCCCGGCAGGAAACAGGAATTGAAGTTCGTAAAAACTGTGAATTTGATCTTCTTCTGGAGATCAAAGGATTTACAGACGAAGATGCCTTTCAGTATATCAGGAAGCATTTCCAAAACATTGGCCCGGAGCATACTTCAAAAGGAGAAAGTCTGATAGTGGAAATTAAAGAAAACTATTTATTGAATGCACTCCGAAATAACCCGTTAAATTTAACACTCCTCTGTGTTGTTTATGAAGACTACAAAGGAAAACTACCAACTGGCCGAACTGAACTTTACCAAGTAGTTGTCCAGTGCCTTTTGAGACGTTATTGTGAGAAACACAACTTTGCGGCCCCAGAAGAAAACAGCGCCTTAGAGAAGCAATTTGAAGAAAGCATTCTCGCCCTTGGAGAGCTAGCTTGGATGTGTCTACTTAGTGAACGTCACGGGTTTCGTGAAAGTGAATTAGCAGCACTTAAAATGAGATACAAAGGATTGGTAGCTCGTGACATAGGCCTTCTTTACAAGGAAGAAAGTCTGAGGAGGTTAAATCCGCAACATGAGTACTACTTTCTTCACAAGACCTTCCAAGAGTACCTGGCTGCCTCCTTTATTGCTCACAAGTTGCGAAGAAACGAGTTAAAGTTGTTTGAGCGCCTACGTTTTCATGAACTGGTCAAAAAGTATCGAGAAGTGTTTCTTTTTGTGTCTGGTATAATGGGAAGGGACGCAACCATTTTATTCACTCTGGTGGGCGAGGAGCTAAAAAATTGGGGAGAATGGGACTGGGTCACTTGCACACAGTCTGGAGTAGTGACGATGAATAACCAAAAAAGGAAAGATAAGTGTTACGACAGGTACAACAGGGACGACAATGAGGATGATGACGACGAGGGCCAAGGCTGGGAAGATGACTGGGATGACTTCTGCTGTAACAATGAGAAGGATCATGGCTGGGAAGCAGCAACTTTTTTCACGCAAAGCTTCAGCGAAAGTGGGCACAATGAACGAATGGCAGAGACTCTTTGTTCCTACATACCCTTTCCTGCGCATGTTAAGATTGGCCTAGGAATGGACGACTTTGACAATATATATCACGTTTTAGAGGCCTGCAAAACCTTTTCAAACCTACAGGGGCCCGTTCAGCTTACTGTTAATGATTATTGTATGCCCGACGAAGGCTTTTTGAGCGTTGCAAAGCGCATACGATCCTGCTCTCAGCTTCAGACCCTTACCATGTCCACCCCTGCAATGACATCATACCTAGCTAACGACTTAAGTATCGGCTTATCTGGAAACACGACTTTATCAGAGTTTACGCTTAAAGTGACTGGCAGTATCCATTGCGATGCGGCTGTCATAATTGGTGAATTGTTAGCTGCATGCAAAGCTTTGCGGAAAGTAACGTTTCAACTTGAAAGCGTTTGGGGGGAGACGTTAGCCAGTGCTATTGAACCTGCTTTGTCTGCGGACACTCCTTTGAAGTCTGTGGACCTCCAGGTTCATGGGTCATTGTATGATACTGCTGTCCATGGTTTAGGAAAGCTTTTATCAAATAAAGCTTTGGCCTCATTTTCCCTTCATATCTCTGGGGATGTGCAAGAATTTGTAGCTGCTGTTATTAGCCGAGGAATTGCGCAACAAACTGTCCTCAAGTCATTGGCTTTCAGTGTTGACGGCAACCTTTGTCTCTCTGGTGTGACTGCTCTTCAAAACAGTCTTCTAGAAAACTGTTCTTTAAATGATTTACGTCTGACTCTCCATGGAGAGATTCCTGACGACTGGCAGTCTGTTGTGGAAAATGTTTGTTCGGTAAAGAAGGGGTCAGTTAACTGTACTTTTCATCCAGACCCTGGCAATAGTATTACATATAATCAAGTGGCGCATTTTCGTCCTGCTGTGGTCGAGAGGGGGTTAGAAACAAAACAACACTTTACTGTAGTTCTTTGGGGAGAGCTGAAGTGTGGTGGAGCGGAAGATTTATTTGAGGTCTTGGTACCTGTCCCCCTGACAAGCCTGACGTTGAAAGTGCATGGAAAATTAGGTGATGGTATTGCTAATGTTATTAAAAGATATATCGGACGACAAAATACACTATCCTCCCTGACAATCAACATTTGGAGAAAGTTGGCCCCGGGAACAGGAACCATACTTCAGGAACTATCAGATAAAAACGTAACTGTTCAAGTAAAGGAGCATGGCGTCTGCATTGTTTCTAAGGAAGTGTGCAACACTCTTGATGTCTCTATTGACAACCCTGCATCACTGGCACCAGTGCTCTCTGAACTGAAGGATACTAGAAAAGAGAAGATTAATCTTAGAATCATTAACGACAGTAAAGTAAGTAGGGACTGGCCACGTCTTCTAGGTGATTCTTTGGCAGAAAATACATTGCTTACAATGCTGGATCTTACGGTGAGCAACTACGTAACAAATTCACGAATAGGAAAAGTCCTCGGGGATAGTTTGCTGCGAAGTTCTTCATTAACAGTTTTAAGTCTTACAATCTGCAACTACAGTAACATGGCAGAAGGCTGGGAATGCACGCTGGTCAACAGCTTGGCTAAAATGGCGTCATTAACCACACTTAGCCTCGCAATTGACGATCGTGGCGAGGTCAACTATCGCGTAGCAGATTTGATGGCAGTGAAGTCCTTGTCTATGCTTTCCGTCGTGATCAGCGGTAGTAAGTTAAATATTTTCTGGTCTCACTTTCTGAGAAAATGTTTGGAAGAATGCACTTCACTAACAAAACTCAGCATTACAATCAACAACTATCAGCGTGTCTGTAACGATCCCGACTTCGATTCAAGACGCATTATTTACCGTTGGGAGGAAAGTTTTGCTTATGGACTGGCAAGTACCTCATCTTTAAAGGAACTAGCCATTACGATCAACAACATCACCTGTACTTATTTTGACTGGGCAGAGAAATTAATTAAGGGACTCCCAGTGAACAATTCAATAACGTCCCTCACTGTCACAGTCAGTGACTACAACTACTTGAGCTTCTTGAGCTGGATACACCCTCTAAAAAGTTGTTTAGCGAAAAACAAGTCGTTAACTACACTCACTCTGACAGTAAATGACTACAGTGAAGCTGAACAGCGTAAATACTGGCTTTATCCATGGAGATTTGGTGATGATTTTCCAGAAAACACTTCATTAACTGAACTCAATCTGACAGTCAACATCCGCAGTGAAGTAGGTGAAGACTGGTTACCAAGTTTTTGTGACAATTTAATGAGGAATTGCTCCTCCCTGAGAACGGTGAGATTGCAAGTCAACAACCGTTGCACTACAAGCAAAAGTCGTATATATGACTTAAGCAAACTTCGGTTAAAATACCGATCATTATCCACATTTGAACTCTCTGTAACTTTCTATGGAGAGTAGAATAAGTTTCAAAAGCGTCATGACATTGTAGACGGGGGTCGCACAGGGAGTAGAGTTTTAGAAGTTTAGAGTAATAAATAAGGACAAAGTAAAAGTTTGGCTCAAAAAGAAATTAGGATTTGAAGGGACAGACGGCTAGTTGTTGGTACTGAATCTATTTTACAGTCATAACTGTTCATCAGTATAATGCCCAATTAATCAGAGGAATTCTAGCGCGAAACCCTTTGCGTTCTTGTCTCTCGGTGCTGTATTTATAGACATTATCAAGAATGTTTTTTTAAATTGTCTCCCACTTCACATGTCCATTACAAGAGATGCGTAGCACTATCTACTATTTACTGGATAATTGGATATCCAGCAAATAATGTTGATAGAGAAACAACCTATCTAGCAAGTACACTTGAGCTGTGTCCTAACGACCATTAGCGGCCATCTCAACGGCTGTGTAAGGGCCTGTTTACATGGAGGTGGGGGACCCCAGGAAGGTGAGGTAACCCACTTAAGGGGTTTAACCCGCCTGTCCATATAATCTCTTATTTCAATTTAATCGTGTTTACATGATAGGTGGGCTGACCCGCCACATGTTACCTTACCTATCTGGGTCTCCCACCTCCATGTAAACACTATACTGGATACCTTTTCGTGACGACATGAAAAGTTATCCAGTATAGTGTGAACAACAACTGCACAGAACTGGAGCAAGTCGTTCACATACATCGAACATTGGTTTGGTGCACTAAATACCAATCTTCACTTCCATCTCAGTAGGGTTCCAGTCATTGCTCCTACTCATTTACTGAATACCTATTCACACTGAGACAAAGAGTGACAGAAACTTATCCAATATCTGACGATCCACTTTCAAGATTGGTGCATTGACACATTGTTCTGTTACAAAAATTGAGCCGAAATCACCATTGTTATGTGTGAACATGTGGTTTTTCATGTTGGCACAAGAGTTTTCCGGTAAGTGCGAACATAGCCTCAATAAAAATAGTCCGGTGGCTTAGTGCAAAATTTTGGCAAGATCTATACAGAGCGGACAAAAGCACCAAACTTTGCATGGTTGTAGCTTAGGGCATGTTAGTCAATATTAGGATCGGTGCCCACTGCGACCTCTTCAGGATTTGCAGCAACTGCTCGCTGAACTTCTTCAACAACCTTCCATGATGGGTTGCCTGTGCTGAAAATTGCAATCCCTTGTTTTTGTCATTCTTTGATGAAAATCACATAAAAAGGCAAGTAGATGAAAAAAGAAACTGTATTGATACTATTATTATTGAAACCAATGACTAAAACAAGTCAATTTAATAATATAGCAATAATGATATACCATGGTGGGTGCCCTGTGCTAAAATATCAATTCCTTGTTTTTTGCCTTTATTTTGATGAAAATCACATGAAAGAAATGAAAATGAAAAAAAAAATTGTATTATTTTTGAAACCAATGACAAAAAGTTTATATATAATGGTAATAAGTGTGAATATATGAGAGTAAGTCAATGTCTGTCCGCTAGATAGCTAAGTGGAAGGTTATTAAGTGGTTTGAAAACTGACGAAAGAAGTTTAAAAACAACATGGTAACTAACAGGAAGCCAGTGAAGGTCAAATAAATAATGTGTTCACAAAGTTTACGAGTCCGAGTAACGATCCTGGGGGCAGTGAATTGCAATTAATAGTCTATTTTGGATGTTAATAAAAGCATGCACAGTAATTTTGCTAGACACCTGTGTGAGACACTTTCTTATCTTTGATAAGTTCCTGAGCAGGTAAAACGATAATCTTCGAATGTTGAGACGTGTGCGTCAAACAGCACGTTGTCATCAAATACTACTCCCAGGTGGTTCTTAGCCTTGCGTTACCCATAATGAAGTCGCTAAAGGGTGGACGAGTACGACTCATCGACAACATAAGCACGATTTCAGTCTTATCGTCTTCAGTCTTATCAGCTCGTTTCTACACACCAAGAGGGAAATTAGTTAGGATCGTTGTCATACTTACCAAGGGTGCGAATCGAAGAGAGAGGATCTGAGAAACCCATTGGTTTAAACAATTATCTATAGAACGCTCCTTGACAATTTACTAGAATTCAAAAAAGAGGACTGTGTTCTTGTTGCAATTAAGTTTGATACTGAAATCACTACAGTAGTAAACAAATGCAAAGTGGCCTCAATCCTGTCACCTTTCGTCCAAGTTAGAAAAAGCAAACTAGAAAAGAGAAACACGCATCATGGTTGAAGCAGACCAGAAACAGCAAGTTGTAGACTGTGGCACCAAACGAGCTTGGAAGACTGACACTAATGGAACTGCAAGGTCTGTGCCTTTTTATGTAACGAATACAGCTTATGAAGTTTGGCAAGTATAAAGAAATGTGAATCATGCTCCACTGCATTTGCTACGTACTCAGTGAGTTCAACAAATACTCTTGATTTATTTAATTCCTCGTCTTCCTCGGCCTTCCAGGCTGCTTTACTTTTCTTTTATAGCGTTCCTCTGACATGAATGCCTATTTCGCAAGTCAGTTAAACAGCAAACATTATGTTTTGAATCAATGGCAATCACACTTGCTTCTCCTTTCTCTTGCTTTTTCTAACTTGGACTTGCTAAACGTGAGGCGACAGGATTGCTGCTTCTTTGCATTTTTACTACGTAGTGATTTCATAATCAAACTTAATTGCAACCGGAAAACAGTTCCCTTTCCTGAATTCTAGTACATTTTCAAGGGGCGTTCTATAAATGCTTGTACCGTTAAACCAGTGGGCTCCTCAGATCTTCTTTTGTTGATTCTTGGCAAATATGACAATATAAATAACCAGTAAGAAAATAAACTCAGTATAGTCATTCATAAACGGCACAAAATATGAAGCGAAAAATATGGCTTTTGATAACACATTTATCACCAAGAAGAGCTTAAAACTTCACTTAAACCTGTCGTGATTCAAATTGTACACGTTTTCCCCCCAAAACGGCAATTTATTCTAGCAGATACTTACAGTCCATGAAAAGACACCTTCAAGCCGCCATCTTGAAAGACCATTTGGGACTGAGTACGCATCTGAAAACATCTTCCTTGGATACTCCATTTAGTTGACTTGTTTTTGTCATTGGTTTCAATAATGATACAATTTCTTTTTTCATTTTCATTTCTTTCATGTGGTTTTCGTCAAAATAATGGCAAAAAACAAGGAATTGATATTTTAACACAGGGCACCCACCATGGTATATCATTATTGCTATATCATTAAGTTGACTTGTTTTAGTCATTGGTTTCAATAATAATAGTATTAATACAGTTTCGTTTTCCATCTACTTGCCTTTTTTATGTGATTTTCATAAAAAATGGCGAAAAACAAGGGATTGCAATTTTCAGCACAGGGCACCCATCATGGAAGGTTGTTGAAGAGCGAGCAGTTGCTGCAAATCCTGAAGAGGTAGCGGTGGGCACCGATCCTAATATTGACTAACATGCCCCAAGCTACAACCATGCAAAGTTTGGTGCTTTTGTCCGCTCTGTATAGATCTGAGCCTTTAGCCACCTGACTAAAAAGGGAATAGTTTACAACTACAGCTGTAGGTTAATACTCGTTTGACTTGTCCTTTTCATTTTAAGTCACAAGGTGTGCGTTTATTTGTTGTATATTTGTTACTTTGGAAGCTGAGTGGAAATTGTGGTTAATCTTTCGTAGGATCTATTTTAGTGTGATTAATAACTTTGTATTTGTAAACACGAGACCGTTGTTTTTCAGGTGGACTTCATGTGAGTTTGACAGCTTATATATCTTGAGCGAATCATGTTATTACACTGAATCGTCTTCTTATTCCATTTCTGTACGTAGAGATACAACCTACCTTAAGGGAATTCAATGTTTAGCAATCCTTAGAATATTGTTAGTTTATTCACCAAATTAGAAGATAGCAATTTTTGCACACTCTGATTGGCTCGCGTAACTCAGAATATCCTTGGATACGACAGTTTCGAAAAATGAAATTTTAGCGGTAAATGAAGCAGCCGCACCAACAAATACCAAGAAAGAGACAAAATTTGGCTTGTCGGAGTTTACTGATCGGTAGAAAAAAATTTTCTTACTGAATTTGCAACAAATCGTAAAAAATGATCGCCAAAACATCGTCAATTGAAACATAAACAAACTCTAACTGACACCTGTTATCTACAAAAAGTTCCTATTTGATTTGTATCCAACTGATTTGGTAAATACTAAATCAACTATCCCCCTCAAGGTCGGTTCATAGCGCTAGATATATACCCCGACGCTTCGCGTCTCGGTATATTCCACCAGTATTCACCTCCCCTTCAGGGGATAGTTGTATATCATATGTTCTATATGCTTCACCCAGGGAAAACATAGAGCGGGTGAAGCACAAGAGTGAAGCACGTGAGTGCACGCTCAGATCGTGTAATACATGGAAATGAAAAGACAATGTGAGGGGAGAAGACAAGCAGCCTAAAGTTTGTGAATTGTTGTTGCTTGGGAGACATCTATCTTTGTTTGACACAAAGTTGTGATTTTGTCATTTACAAGTAAATTCTTTCCCTAACATTATGGCCCTGTTTATATGAAGGTGGGAAACCCCAGGTAGGCGAGGTAACATGTGGCGGGTTACCCCACCTTACATGTAAACGTATCACATTACAGTGCGAAGCTCGCTACCGTTTCCACCGGAACAAGATTTTTGACATTTCTTTTTTTGATTGGGGGCGGAGTTTGACAGACCGGTTAAAATTACCGCGCGCGAGAGAAATAAGCAGCCAGAAAATAAATTTGAAAGAAACTAGTGAGTAGAAAAGAATAATGTCTCAAGCCACAGCAAATATACAATTGCGTGTTAACGCGAATGGCGGCCTATACGATAATGGAAGAGCACTACCTTCTCTTGTTCGTGAGCAAATATTAGATTTGAACCACCAAGGTTTAGGCCAACGCGCTATTGCAAGAGAAGTCAGGACCAGCCATACATTTGTGAAAAAAGTTACCAGTAGT